TCGACGTCAGCAGCTACCAACGCACGTCAATTTCTCTCTTCTCCAACGTTAGCAGCTACCAGTGCACGTCATACTTCTCTCTTCTCCAACGACGTCAGCAGCCACCGGCGCACGTCAGACTTGTCTCTTCTCCAACGACGTGAGCAGCCACCGGCGCATGTCAAACTTCTCTCTTCTCAAAGTTTCCAGTTTCCAGCTAGTGTCCAAGCTTTCTCTTGCTTCAGTCAGAGTTCAGCTTGAGGGGGGATATTAGATAATAAAACTAATATTACTTCTGGTAGTATTGGTTATGGTAGTGTTTCATTATTAGTCCTAATCCTATTTGTAGTAGATGTTGTATGTTAGTTAGTTTCCATTCTCTATTCCTAATTGTGTTAGGAATCTCTCCTATATATACTCTATCATGTATTCCATAATTAAAGGAGCAATATTATTATTCCAATATTTCAACAATCAAAATACTTATTCTAATATTAAAAATATTTTTGGTAAGCAAAAATATTTTTATTCAAATATTTTTTAGACGTCGTTTGACACACAAAATATTTTTCGGTCCTCATCATTTCTAGATCCCAATTCCATTCCGTATTCAAATTACTTTTTGAATAAGTGGTTGAGGTTATTGGGAGCCTCATCTCACATGCTGAAGTGTTGGAAACCATAGGAATTTGACAAAATTCCTTTATCCCCACGCAGACGCATATTTTATTCTATTTGTGCATTATTCACTCCAAAAAATAATTTTTACTTTTGCATATATCGATTTTTTGCTTCTGAATGAATTTTCTAAAGAAACATAACCAATAATCGATTTTTGTACTTAAAAAATCATTTTCTATGATTTTTTTCATATTTCATTCCTTTTTTTGGATCAACAGACATATTATCTTTAACCTATTTAAAACCCTTCTTCTTGGTCATTTTTAGACACTAAAAACACTCTAAACACACCTCATTCTTGTGGTCCTCATCCTCCATTAATCCCTTCCTCAAATTAATTTATTTTGAGATAAAACTATTTGTTTTCAAGAGAGTGTTCTTGTCATCCACAGAGCTTAATCATTTTCTTATTTCTACTCTTGTGAGAGTTTTGTTGTGAAGTTGAACAAAGTTACTCTTCTTGTTGTATAAGACTTATGTGACTTAAGTCTTTGGTGTGAAGTCTTGTAGAGGACACATCTACGAGCGGTTTTCTTGAAGCTTGTGGATATCAAGTTCTCATGCTGTAAACGGTTTGTCAAGTTGAAGCTTGATGATTAGTAGTAGCTTCGAGGTGGTGAACTAGCATACATCGGTGTGTCCTTTGCCTTCTCTCTTTTATTTTTGCTGCACACTCATTTATTCTTATTTACACACACATGCTGCGAAAATCGGTATATATTCTCAACAACTCTATTCACCCCCTCTAGAGTTGCACTCTTTGTCTAACAATTAGTGTCAAAGCAGGTATCTCTATGTATTGCTCCTTGTGGCGTTGGAGATATAGCTTGCTGATGAAGAAGATATATGTGATACATTCATCCCAAAGAACGGAGATGAATATGACGAAGCCGACTTCAAAAAGGCTCAATTGAATGCTAGTGCCATCAACTTTTTATATTGTACTGTCAACGTCGATGATTATCAAAAGATATCTCCGTGCGAATCCGCCATCAAATGTGGAATAAACTCATGATCACTTATGAAGGTGTGCCTCAAGTTTGTGAAGCAAAAATTGATTTACTAACCATAAATATGAGTAGGTTACAATGAAAGAGAATGAACATGTAGAGGACATGTTTGAAAGATTTTCAAATATAGTCAATGACCTTGATATGTTTGGAAAGACCTTCACCGACAAAGGAATTGGTAAGGAATTGACCAGAATCATAACCGTAGGTAGTGGTTCTGATGTCATAGAATAGACTTGAGTAATGATCGTAGGTAGTGGCTCTAAGTCCTAAGTTAGGATTGTGGATAATGATGTATTGGCCTTAGCCTAAAATAGGTTATAAGCTAGTGTTTGATATGAGCTATTGTAATGACTTGAATTTTGGATTGATGATTTTTGCAGCTAAAGAATCGAGGTAAGTAACATGTTGTGTGAATTGTTGCTATTGTTGATATTATTAATGTTGTATTTGAGTACATGATATTGTATGAAATTCTGAGCTAGTGAGTTTGTCTATATGCATAGTTGAAACGACAGCTATTTCTCACTCAGCTTCAATGATGAGCGTGTAACCTTTTTTTTCTTCATTGCTACACGTAGGTAACAACAATAACGAATAGGGAAATAATTCTGGAGGACAACGGGGACGAAGAGATGGATGAATGTTGGCTGAAGTAGTTGATTTAAATTAATACTCCCTCCGTCCCAAAAAATTTGTTACGTTTAGAAAAAACTGCGTCCCATAAAGTCCGTTACATTTCTATTAAAAAACCACTTTTACCCCTTACTTTTTCATACACTACCTATCACATCATACCTTTTTTCTAATAATCTACCCATCATATCCTACTTTTACCCATCACATCAAGGGTATTTTTGGAAAGTCAATACCAAAATATCTCTCCCTTAATTTCCCAAAAAGTCAAACCGTCCCATTCTTTTTGGGATGGAGGGAGTATTATATTTGGATTTAATATGTTTTTAGAGCAAGGGACCCAAATTTGTGTTAGAATTAAGTACTCAAAGCTCCCGCACCGTTTTGTTAACTCCGATGAATTTATAAATATTGTTTTGAATTAAATATTTTGAATTGTTTTGAAAATCATTGTGTTTGGATGCCAATCTGGTGACAAACCAATCCGGCGATCCGTGTGTTCAATCGACAACAAATCCCCGTCCACTACATTGAGGATCCCTTAAGTGGGATTTAAAAGAGTCTACATACGAGGAAAATGGTATCAATATCAATTACAGTTGACAAGTGATAGTAGTATAGATGTGTAGTTGTTATAGTACTCCCTCCGTCCTATAATGATCTTCCCGGTTCGCAAAACGAAGAAAAATCCCAAGTTTTTTCAATCTATTTTATTTAAATATTGGTATAGAAATAAAAAATAAAACATACATATTTAAAAACTACATCAAAAGTTCAACAAAACAAGTGGTGACAAGAATATTTTATTTTATCATATAGGCCATGAAAAAACACAAATAAATATAAATTCCCGTGAAGTTGGAATAGTGCTCTGGGAAGATCATTATAGGACGGAGGGAGTATAATTCTCACTATTATAACATTTACTTGTCTTGTCTCAATCATTTGTCATGTAGACTTTGACCATCCCGTCTCATCTTACTTTTGGCATCGCTAAACAACTTTTAGGTCCTAGCTCGAGTAAACAATCCAATGGTCAAGCCCGGCTTAACCCAACCGATCACGATCAGCCGAAAATGACAAGTTATGGATAGCTTCATTCAAGTTCATTATGAATATCTGTACAACTTCTCTAAGGGTATGTTTGGTTGGAGATATGTAAAAGTTTTATTAGGTAAGTAATTGAAGGTAATTGAAAGTAGGTAATTAAAGATAGGTAAAGTAAGGTAATGAGTTAAAAAATTGTGTTTGGATGTTTATTAGGTAACGTGAAAAAGAATAAAATTTCTAAAATATCCTTGTGGTTGTTTTTCTTTATTTGTTTAGGATGAAGCTTGAAAAAATGAAAATTACCTTAAATTGGATTCGGAAGGAGAAGTTTATTTTTTTCAAGGACGAAAATTGAAAGTATGATGTCTCATTTTATCACTTTGCCACAATTTCTCATTCTCTCATCTCAAAAAAATGAAAACTGAAAAAAAAGTAAACCAAAATTGGAAACTGAAAAAAAATGAAACCTGAAAATTGAATCGCGGCGGAGGAGAGCAGAGGAGCGTAAACTAAAAATTAAAATTAAACGAAAAAAACGAAAACTGAAAAAAAAAAGAAAACTGGAAACTGAAAAAAGAATGAAAACTGAAAATTGAAGTAAGCAATGTCAAACAAACAAGAAAAAATTATATCAATTCAAGAGGCAAAAACATGGAAAATCCTTGCAATTTCACTGTACTGTTAATGGAAGCATCTAAAGAACACATGGCAAAATTGCCTTCAAATATCCATACACCCAAGCGGAACAGTGACAAAAAATCCCTAATTGAAACCCCCCAAATACCGAAATCATAGCAGAGAATCAGATATACTGATTCTGCACGAAAAAATTGAAAAAAGTGAACGAAATTGAAAAAATTGAACGAATCTGAAAAATTGAAGTGAAAAAAGTACCGAAAATACCTGTTGGAGATGGCGATGCGGGAAGAAGATGGCGATGTGGGTTTTGCGATCGAGTGAAGTGTGAAGGGTAGCAGCGGAACCTATTAATATTACCTTGATATTTAGCCAAATTGGCGGTAGAATAAAAACTACCGTTGAGAGGTAATCCTACCTATCTCAAATTTTGTTACCAAACAAATTAGAATATTAAATTTATCTTTCACTACCTCCCCCTACCGCTTGAGAGAAACAAAATGTAAAGTATGCCCAAACATGAAACATGCACATGTTCGGTTGGTTGGGGTTTACACATCGACATGGAGCGTGAATGAAGCTCGAGCATCGTTTCCTTAGAATGCCCGACCCACTTCCCCGAGGCTCGAGCAAGCGGTCCTATTGAAAGAATACTCTAAAACCGAAGGAATTCGTATAATTCAAAAAATGGAACCCTTTAAAGTGTTAGGTCGTGAAACAAATGGATCTTAGGCTGAGCCGACCCTATACATGGAGGAGCTATTGCCAGCTAGTCGCTATTGGGACAATTCTTCTTTCACCCCCAATTTGACATTATTTTTTTGACAGCTAAAAGGAAATTGCATCTTTGAAATAAACAATTTTGGTACTATTTTCACTCTTCTCGTCTATACATTTCATTATAAAGCAAAGACAAAATTTAAAAATATTACTCATTTTAAGTACACGTTTTTTCAAGCAGAAAGTATTTTATGAGACTTATGAAGTAATAGACTTTATATATCTTTGAAAAACAGAGATTATTTGTTAAAAAAAATTTGGCGAAAAAAAAAGTGATCAAATGTGGTGTAGTAGTAGGAGAGGTTGCTTCCTAGAAGCAATGATGATCATAGAGAGCAATTATTTACTCACAAAATAGGACAAAAGTTGCAAAGAACAAACAGCTACGCTGCCGTGTGGGCTTCTTTTATTACTTTTTTGGCGATTAATAATTTTAACTCTGAATGTGAAAGATGCTTCTTCTGGATTTGCAGTTGCAGAATGCGGAAGAAATCGATTATGAATCTTCTTCTTCTTCTTCCTTCTTTCTAGACAGATTTCGGGGAACCAGAAGAAGTGGCGTGGAACACTTTGAGTTCACACTTTGGACAAATCGCCTTCAACATCATCTTACCACTCTCTTCTTGCTTGATCTGCCCATCCCTCGTTTCCACCAGCGCCGCCGCCGCGATCCTCTCGTACCCGCCTCCTCCGCCGGCCACGAACGCCGCCAGCGCTGCCTGGATCGGCCCCAGGCTCGGATTGTACGCCGCCGATTCCGCGTAGGACCCCTTGTACAGTTTTCCTTCGCAATCCATCAATGCCGCCCCTGATGGACAATGCGTGTACGGCGCGTGCGATTCGTTCGCCGCCTCCAGGGCCGCGGCCTCCAAATCGGAGGAGAATTTGTCGGGAAATCCGTTGGTTGGGGACCGGAGATTCGTTTCTGGATTTGAATCGGGGACGGTCGGAGTTAGGGTTAGGCCGTTGTTGTGAGGCTCCAGAAGGAGGGGGGTTTCGTCGTCGAGGAGATCGTCGGGGCCGAAGTGGTGGGGCAGGAATTCAGATAAGGGCTTGAAATCGGATTCGCCGCCGGAGTCGGAGGCGATGAGTACCTGGATTGAAGAGGCGTGCCGTTGCTCTTGGAAGAACTGGCGGCAGTGGCCGCAGGGGGCGGCGGAGACGGCGAAGGCGATCAGGCTCGGGCATCGGTGGGTGGACAGGTTGGTGACGAGGGACTGCTCGGCGTGGACGGAGTGGTGTAGAGGGAGGCCGGGGAACTCGAGGTTGACGCCGACGAAGACGCGACCGTCGGAGCCGAGTCCCACGGCGGCGACGGGGAAGTTGGAGATCGGGGGTCTGGCTAGGCGTTGGGCCGGGCGTACCAGGAGCGGGAGGAGATGTTGGACGGAAGGGAGGCCCAATGATTTGGCCATGGACTCGGCCTCTGCTGCTTCGATCACGAATTTGGGCTGATCCATTTCGGGCCTGTGATATAAAATTTCTGGAGTATAATAAATTTATTCAAAGCTGGATATGAATATGACATATGAGAGAAGAGTGAAGAAGAAAAAGAGCGGTGGAGGAAATGGAGGGAGTGGGGGGTTGGAGTCTATATATATATATATATATATATATACACACACACACGCGCGCATAGGGAGAGAGAATACAATAAACAATTTTATCATTTAAAAAAATAATATACTCCCTTCGTCCCAAAAAGATTTACACGTTTTGACTAAAGTTAAAATTAAAGGAGGGATAATTTTGTGTTGACTTTTCAAAAATTCCCTTGATGTGATGAGTAAAAGTAGGATGTGATATCTAGATTATTAGAAAAAAAAGGTATGATGTGATATGTGGGGTTTGAAAACGTAAGGATAAAAATGGTTTTTTAATAGAAATGAGTAGGAGATTGTGAGACGCAATTTTTTTGAAAGGTGTAAATCTTTTTGGGACGGAGGGAGTAAAACATTGTGCTCTTTATGTTGTAAAAAAATATTCAAAGTGAACATAGTAATTGAAAAATATTGTTTTCAAGCAAAGATTTTATACGAGGGCTGATATCGTGGGTGCCCTCGTGGTTTGACACCAAAACCCGCTCTATTTTCAAAAATCACTTGTAAAAAATCTGTGGTTTTTAAATAGTGCATAAGCCCCCTTTTATTTATTTCAGAGTTAAAGTGACATTTATGTCCTTTCTTTTCATCTTTTATCAAGTTTCAATCTTTTATTTATATTTTTTTATCATACAAATAAATAAAATAAAAATATACGCTCTCGATCTCAAATTAATATTTTCATTTATTTATTTTTCAAAACAAAATAATGTGTTTAGAAAACGTTACAAAAGAAATTGAAAAATTAAAAAATTAATAAAAAATATGTAAAAGTAAAATAAAAAAAAATTAGATAACATATACACAGTACTCACTCTATCTCACATTAAAAATTTTAACTTATTTATTTTTTAAAAGTAAATTAATTTTTTTGGGACTTCAAAAATATGAAGAACAGAAATATGAAATAAACATTGAGTAAGAGAAAAAGATTTTTTTTTATTTTTTGTTTCTTATCATTACCTTTTTCAATTATGTTTTTCTTTTACTTTGTACATAATATTTTTTTTCATTTTTTATTTTTCATTTTCTTTGGTAACATTCTCTAGAAAAACCTTTTGTTTTCAAAAATATATAAATGAAATTTTTTTATTTGAGTTTGAAAGAATCTGTTTAATTTTGATTATTTGTATAATAAAGGAAAATAAAAAAGTAAAAATTTAAGATAGAGAAAAAGAAATGATATAAATGTCATTTTAATTCTTAAAATTGGTAGGAAGACGTCTATGCTCTATAAAGAAATCACAAGTACTTTACAAATAACTTTTAAAATTATAGTGGCTTTTGATGCCTTATTCGAGTATGTTATTTCCAGATAATGAATTTTAATCTTAAAAAAGTATAGAGAAATAATTTACGAAGTAACATTTGGGGGAATTAATAAAAAATGATTGCCTTATTTTTGCAAATAAAGAAAAGAAATTGTTTTGACCATTCATTTGGATTAGGAGAGGGAAGTGACAACAAAGATAAATGCGAGGGTAAAGTTTAATTTGAAAAGATAATTAATGTTATTTGAATGAATAAAACATGAGGAGAAAATTAAAAGAAAATGTGAGAATAAAAAGGTAAAACAGAAAAAAATACAACTAATGAGTATTGATTGGTTCCTGCATATTCTTCCCACAAGAGAAGAGAATTTTTTAAACCATTTTTTCCCCTCATTTTTTTCTTATCGAAACAGAATAAAATGTCTTGAAATACATGTTTCTTTGCTACAATTATCTTTTTTCTCCTTTTTTGTACATCGAAGCAAAGGCTAAACTCAAACACACAACAACTTTTATCACTAAAGTTGCATGATTGCTCATCAGGTTTATATGACATCTAACTATTAGGTGGCTTAAAACTTAACTTTGGCTAGTGGGTGTGATTCGTCACATCTCCGCTATTCTCCTTTGCGAATCTAGTGCCAAGAATGTATATTGTATACCTAGTTGATACACTCGATGAATATTTATTTTGAATCAATAAAATATTCATTTTAAATTGATAAAATATTCATTTTTAATTGTAGTGTTTATTCTAAAGCCTATCGTAATTCTCATTCAGAAAAGAACGTATTATTCATTTTAAAACAATTTAATGTTTATTCTAAAACAACTTATCGTAGTATTCATTCTCAAATATTTTTTAGCTACAAGTTCTCCATGATGTACCGTACCATATAATTTGTCCTATCTAACGCCACATCAACTATCTTTTTTCCATCACAATTCAGTGGCGTGTTTCACTCCGTCTCCACAAGCCCCATCCTTTTTTATTAATACTTTTATAATATTTTATTTTTTCTTTATTTAAACTCACAGGACGTTATTTAAACTAAAAAAGTGTGTAAGGAAAATAAAAGTACACAATAAAAAATTAAAAGTACACAAACTTTATTCATCACCAAGAATGTCATGAATCAAATTCTAAATATACTCAACAAAATTGACATGGAAGTTTAGGTGTGTATAAGCATTGTGTAATGCATGCATATTGCATTCATGTAGTGTTGCATTCACAACTTAAACATTCTCATTAATGTCATTCAAGTTGCATTTGCATATTATACGGCATTGTACTGAGTTTTGCATAATGGGCCATTTATGTGTTAGACGAACAAATAGTTGTTTAACATTTTTCCTTGCAGATTCTTTGCATTTTGTAAGTGTCCTTCCCTTATCATCCTAAGCAAACAATATAGTTTTTTTACTATATTCGCATAGTTAGGGTATATATTGTATGCAAAAAGTTGTCATACTCCATTCCTTTTGGAGGTGTAGTAAGAAATAAAGATGCGTTTAAAGGCTCGAAAAGTGCTCGAGATAATTAAAAATGTAATATTGGGATGTTGAGTGTGAAACTAGCACACTATCTCCACTTGTTGAAAGTGCATGTTTAATGAACATTTTCAGAATAAAAACTTTTTAACAAGAACTCGCAATTCTATATGGACTAAAAATATACTACCTCTCTCTTGAAGTTTCTTCCGAGTTAATATACATAAGTCAAATTTTGATCGTTCTTTATCTATTCTAGTTAGTAATTTGATAGAATGATATTGTTATGTTACTCTTATTTTGTAGAATTTAGATGTAGTCTTCAAATAAATAATTTTGTTTTAATTTTACTCATGTAATCAAATAAATTCAATTGAAATAATTTAGGCCAATAAACTTCGTAAATTGATGTTTTATTTTCATTATCTTTACCTCAGTCTAATCAATCCCCTCCTTTTAATCTCTACTTGAAAATAATTAATTTATTTTTTACCAATCAAATTAATTATTTTATTATATACTAACCATAAATATTTTTCTCTCCAAAAGTATTTTATTCCCCTCCAAACCACATCTTCCATTTTTCCTTACCCTCTCTAACCATTCTCTCTTGCCTAATACTGTAAGTCATAAGCAATTCCCTTCTCATGCCCCCATTTGTGATATTTTAATGAGACATGTCTGGTTATTTATGTGGGACACTTATAATCACAACTGTCAAAAAAGAAAAAAACTAGCGAGAGTTATTTTTTAATCATTTTATATAATTAATTGACATTTTTAATATTATAAATAATTTAAAAACGTTGTACAAACAAAAAAAAGTAAGGGGATAATTTTGATGAAGAGAACAAAAGTTCAATGACATTTTGTAGTGCACTCCAAAAAATGTTAAAGGACCCATAAATAACTATTGAGTGGACTAACTTGTAAAAACACAGTCTCTCAAAAAAATTCGTTACTGGATCCAAACCAGGCCCGCTAGTGCCCAAATGACGGGCCTCAATTGCAAACCCAAGCCCTCATTTCCCTATAAATCGGAAGAAACCCTATCCGGAGGCCAATATAACCTAATCGACCCTGGCTTGCCTCCGCCTCCTCTTGCCGCCGATTAAACCGACGCCATCTGCTTGTGCCGCCCCCGCACACTCCGGTTCTCTGTGAGAATGGCGACTCAGATGAGCAAGAAACGAAAGGTTAGTTTTACCTATATGTTTTCCTCCTTGGATAATTTACACTCGACATACACTCACGCATGACCGGTGTTCTTCTGTGTTTGCAGTTCGTCGCTGACGGCGTGTTCTACGCCGAGCTGAACGAGCTTTTGACGCGCGAGCTTGCTGAGGATGGATACTCCGGTGTCGAGGTCCGTGTCACTCCCGTTAGGACGGAGATCATCATCCGTGCTACTCGCACTCAGAATGTTCTCGGTTATTCTCTTAACCCCACTCTGCAGGATCTAGTGTCGTCCGATTTGGTTTTTTTTATTTCTGTCGTTGAATTGCAGATCATATGTTTTCATGAGATATTGGTTTTTTTTTTTCGGTCGTTCCTTCGTTTGTTCGCTTTTTCAATCATTTCAAGTTTACTCTGTTTCCATTTTGTTTTTATTTTCCTTGAGTGTTATTGATCACAGCCTAATACAAGATTCACATTTTTTCTATGTATAATTCATTAGTTTTTGGAGGGATCGGTACTGGAAACATTTCGTTGTGCAATTTGTTAGTCGAACTTCCTCTAATTGATTTAGATATCTGTCATATTTTAGTTCTGTAGAACAACTAATATGATGGAAATTAAGGATTTTATTCAAAATTTACGTGTTTATGTGATAACTATGTTGACATATATTACCTTAGATATAGGAATCCCGTGGTCTCTCTTTTCCCTATATTACGTTTTCTTGATTTTGCCACTTGCAGCATCCACCATATGTTTCATCCTTAGTATCTTTCTTATTTTGAAACTGAATTAAAAGTGTAATTATTAATGGTTAATGAAATGTGCAACATTAACAGGTGAGAAAGGACGTAGGATTAGGGAACTGACCTCAGTTGTCCAGAAAAGGTTCAAATTTGAGGAGAACACTGTGGAATTATATGCCGAGAAGGTGAACAACAGGGGTCTTTGTGCCATTGCGCAGGCCGAATCTCTGCGCTACAAGCTTCTTGGTGGCTTGGCTGTTAGAAGGTCAAACACATCGAATTATTTGCATTTAATCCTCTCTTAATTTTCTTTAAACACTAGCTAGTACCTGTAGGTAGCTCACTCCATTCAATATTGTAGAAGGTAATATCTCAAAAAATTTATAGTGCTTCTGTTGGATCTTAAATTCATTTTATGGTATGTTTGGGAACTTGGATTTGGATTTTTAACCCAGATTTGGCTCAAAATCTATGTTTGATAACCTTAGGAAATTTTGATTTGGATTTGAGGCACATTCTTTTAATTCATAATAAGGCTAAATTTGAAATCTATTTACCTCCCTTGTCACTTGAAATTCAAGAATTCAAATTTTTGAATTCAAATGAAATGTTAGTTCCCAAACATTACCTAATGTCATTCACAAAGCAAATTGATTTCCCAGTATCAGTTCTGTGTCAGATGATGACTAAAACAACATTTTGCCCTTCCATGCTAGTAAACTGGAACTGTATAATGCAGATTCTTAATCATGGCTAGGATACATAGTTTCACCTTAGTTCATTCACAATGAAGTGCTTGTGAGCCACAGCTCATAGTTTTATTTTCTCTAATTTATAGTCATCTATAAAGCAATTTGGTCCATTGTGCATACCAATTTTGTGTCGGAAGATGACCAAATTATTTCAGCTTCACCAAGACTAATTCAAGAGTTGTGGTATCTACATATAGCTCTGTGCCTCTTGGGTTGCAACATCTTTTGAAATCAATGTCTTAATATATTTAATATTTTCATGTCTTAATATATCTTGACCTTCTTTGGTTGTTTAGGGCTTGCTATGGTGTTCTGCGATTTGTTATGGAAAGTGGAGCCAAGGGTTGTGAGGTATATTTCTGTGAATGATTCAAGCTTTTTCTCGGATTTCATTAATGCTAAAGAGTTGTTACATGTATTCAGGTAATTGTCAGTGGAAAACTGAGGGCTCAGAGGGCCAAATCTATGAAGTTCAAAGATGGTTACATGATTTCATCTGGTCAACCTGTTAAGGAATACATTGACACTGCCGTGAGACACATCCTCATGAGACAGGTGTGTTTAAAATATTCTCTTTTGAAATAAGTTTATTATTCATCCCAAACTTTGAAGAAGTCTGTGCACTGTTGTATACACTATATGTCATCCCAAACTTTGACTCTTTACGTTACCAATTGTTATATTTAGCACCAGAAATTGCATGTAAGTTTGATATGATGATATGTTTAGTCATGGTGGCAATGAAAATAAAAAATTATGATGTATTTAACATTGATGCCCTTCATTACTTTCCAACCATGAAAATTTGTACCCTGACCCAACTGTGTTTTCATGTAATACTTGATTTGTAAGTAATTTAACAAATTTTTAAATTATCATCATAATCAAATTGCAGGGAGTGCTGGGCATCAAGGTTAAGATCATGCTTGCACATGACCCACAAGGAAAGAATGGACCAAAGACTCCTCTTCCAGATCTTGTCACCATTCATCCTCTTAAGACGGAAGAAGACTTCACCAATGTGCCTCCACCCGCAATGGTACCCCCACCAACAACTGAAATTGAAGTTATGTAGAGAGCGACGTGCGTGTTTGTTTTCCTCCCTTTTGTTATGCCTTTGGGTCTGGGAACTTTCATTGCTCTTGAGGATTTCTCCGTTGTCTTGTTACCTTTCTCCTTTTTTAAAGGAATCTAGTTATTTTGTTTTTTTGATGAAGTTTTGTTTCAAATTGATAATGAAGATTTCTGCCTTTGATTTCAGACATCAATACATTATCTCTGTCTGCCACATTGTCCTTTTAAGGATGGGTCTTTGTGTTTGATTTCCCTTTGTTTATACCATAGGTGTTTTATGATTCATGCTAAGAGTTATGGGTGTCTAGCGATCATTTTAGGGTATGGGGAGGTTTTTTAATGTGCCTACTTGTTGAATCATCTTTTGTGAAACTCACTTGAGTGATAAATGAGTTATTTAGTACTACCTCTATTCCTTAAAACAATTCTCATTTTAACTTTTAAAAGTTACATTAAAAGTTTTTCAAAATTAGTAGTGTTTAGAATATTTTATTTTATTAAATAGTCAATTAAATGTATAAATAAATAAAAGTTTTTGTGATTGTTGAAAAAGCAAATGTGATATTCTTTTAGGGATGGAAGAGGAAGGTGATGCTCTCTTTTCAATTTGAAAAACATATTGATTGTCAAGAATAAGCTGATGCAAGACAGGTTTGAGGCTAAGTAGTTTTACAACAATAACAAACAATGATGTTTTACTTTCTATAGAAAAGATACACATGTGTTTTTTACTTCTTTGTCGTCTATTCAAGAAAGGAAAGAAAACCAAAGTGTGTATTAGGAGCCATGGCTAGTAGTAGTACTATACTGAAATCTGAATTTGTTTGTGTGTTCGTTCACCTGTATGTTTTTGTGAAGTGCTATGTACTTAGAGTGTTGTTTGTTTAGAAATATCAGATTCAAAGGATCTACCTATGATCTGGGGCTTTTCTGGGCCAATTTGATCCCCAAAAAATGGTTATTTAGTCTGATATTTTAGCTTTTGAATAATTTGGATACTTGAAAGAATTGGATCATTCATTGAAAGAAAATACCTTTCGATCGAAGCATATGGTCTTTGTTGATCATAGCCATTTATGCTTGAGTTTTGTCCTCATTGTGCGAGTCTTTGAGCATTCATATTGTTATCAGAAGTTCACATTTTGTTTGATGTTTAGTATTTACTTCTTTCTTTGTAATGGTGTACTTTGTAAAATTTTGGTGTTAGGAGGAAGATATCTTATTTGCTTGTGAATTCAAACATTAGGTAGAAAAGATCTCGTGACTTGTGAAATCTACGATAAGAGGCTTGTGAAATCAAGTTGTTTGAGTTTTTCAATTAACATTAAAGTTTGGTGGGCAACTATGTATTTCCTTGTTTCCATCATATTTTTGTTTGATGATTTTTTTGATGTGATTGTAAAGTGTTTGAAAGGAAAATCACGCAAAAATCAATTGTTGTGGATAACACCTCTATTTATCCCTTACATGTGATTATCTTACAAGTACAAAGAAACACTAACATAGTATTATAGAATAGTTTATTTATTAGTGGTTCAAATATAAAAAAGTTAGATAAAATAATAAAATTTTTCAAATAAATTTTTTGGTACGGATTTTGTTAGGGTTTTAAGCGCGTAAGATACGAAAAATATTGAAAACACTAGAAAAATGAGACAACAAACACAAGAAGAATATATATATATATGAGAGAGAAAAAATTATATTTCCATTATTTCAATACCATATACAAAAAACTTTCTCCTGTTTACAAGGCTAAATTCCAGACTCTCATAAACAGGTCTTTCAACATTTTATGTTTGGGTAGGGCTGTTCATCGGTCTAAGACTGGACCAAACCGGACCGACCTGGACCTGATCGAAGATCAAAATGAGTAAATTCAAGGACTGAAGACTGGACCTAAATCTACTCGGGTTTGGACCTGACTGGACCAAAATATTTAGGACCGAACCGGTCCGGACCGATTAGACAAAAAAAAATACATATTTTTTAATCTATTAAATAAGTAATTTTAGACTTTTTACTTTGTACCATTCAAATAGAAAATGAATAAAAAAATATGCAACCTTAAAATGGATACACGATATGAACTACTTTAATGTAGAACCATAAAAACAAATATGAAACGTTTTTTTTAGATTTTTTTTAAAATTACTTAATAAAAAACTTTTTTAATTAAATAAATTAAAATATCTATTAAAATAGAGCATTAAAGTGTAATACGGAACATAAAAAGTAGAGTTTTAGTATTTAGGTCTTTTAGGTCCAGTAGGGGTCATTAGGTCCAACCGGTCCAATCGGTCCGGACCTAAATCATTTCAGGTTTGGACCGGACCGGATCGAAACCTGAATGCCTAAATTTTCTGGACTGAAGACCGACCTGAAATCCATTCGGTCCGGGTTCGGTCTGGATCTAACGGTCCGATTCGGTCGGTTTTTTCAGTCCGGACCTAAATGTGAACAACCCTATGTCTGGGTGTATTTTTTAAAGTAATTAAATACCAGTTACTCCCTACACTCACCTATGCCTCTTGGACTTTCCCAATGATATTCTCGTGTAAATTCCTCCCATGTTTCTCTCTCTACTTTGGTGGTGTGTAAAACCCACACACATAGCCTTGTTCTTCCATTGCTATTAAATGGCTAGGTACTCTTTGGGAACAAAGGAAAGAAAACAAAAACAACAATTCAAGCCAATAATGGATACCATGTACATGCCAAATCTCATGTCCCAATGCACCACTAAACATCCTATCATGCTTAAACTCATTGGAGGAGACCCTTAATTTTTTCTTTTCAATTATCTAATCAAATCCTAACAAACTCCACTTTGATTAAATAACCAAAAAAATTTGGTAACTCTATCTCACTACTCAAAGAAAAAAAAATCTCCTTGGCTCCACCTCGATCAATCCACCGAGATCACCGTCACCTTGTAATTTTTCTTGTGACCTCATCTTGCTCAAGTACACGAGACATTGCCACCATGTGTTGCCTTTGTGGTTCCACCTTGCTCAACACCACAAGGTCCCCCGCCACTTCCATTCGCCGTTGAAATAGTGAATCCATCTCAATCGACCCCATCAAGATCCCCACCACCACCTTAGCTCCTTAGAGGTTTAACCCTCCACCCCGAGCTAAAAAATGACAACTCATGATTTTTAACATTCTTTGAGACCATCCCTCTAGCAATTAGCTTCTTTCGATCTATCCATCTTGTATCGCCGCAGCAACACCTGCAGGACATGCCGCCCGACCTCTTCGTGCCAAGAAAACTTTCGACCCAAGACATAACTGGCAGATTTCCACTCTGCTAGACCACCGGTCTCTTCAAGTCCTTTTCCTGCACCATACTTCACGAAGCCAGCATACCGCTTCATACCCGGTTCCCATGCCATCCACTTTGTTCCTGAAGTCCCATGGTCGCTTTCTGGCGAAGATCGACCAGTCCCTGGGTTCATAAAATTTCTTCTTTTACCGCTTACAAATCCCTCCATCCCACCGCAACCAGGCTCCGTTACCAATTGTTAGGATTTTAAGTGTTTAAGATACAGAAAATATTGAGAACACTAGAAAAATAAGAGAACAAACACAAGAAGAATATATGAGAGAAAAAAACTATATTTCCACTATTTCACGACAATATACAAAAAACTCTCCCCGGTTTACAAGGCTGAATTCTAGACACTCATAAACAGATCTTTCCGCATTCTATGTCCAGATGTATTTTTCAGAGTAACTAAATACCAGTTACTTCCTACACTCACCCACACTCACCAAGCCCCCCTGGACTTTCTCGGTAATATTCTCGTGTAGAAGTCTTTCCATGTTTCTCTTTCAGCCTTGGTGGTGTGTAAAATCCACACACATAGCCTTGTTCTTCCACCGCTATTAAATAGCTAGGAACTCTTTGTGAACAAAGGAAAGAAAACAAGAACAATAGTTCAAGCCAATAATGGATACCATGTACGTGCCCAATCTCATGTCCCCATGCACCACTAAACATCATATCATGTTTAAATTCATTGGAGGAGACCCTTAATTTTGTACCAAAAATAATAATATACTCCATCCGTCTCAAATTAAATTTCTTGTTTACTGTTCACATAGTCAAACTTCACTTACTTTCATTTTCTATTTTCATTAAACATTTGATATAACAAAATAATCATGTCACTATTAGTTTTATAGATCTTTTGATGGAATATTTTAATATGTAATTTTTATTTTTTTTAATTCTATACTATTTTTCATATAAAATGATTTGAAAATAATTTCAGTCAAACATCGTAAACCAAAACATGTGATATAAATGGAGACGAAGGGTGTAATAATTTGACTAAATTACATCGGTTTAGCTCTTATATTTGAACTAAAGTTTAAGAAATACACCCATGACATTATTGTGAGATTATGCAATGTGGGTCATTCATTTCAAAAGACGATAATATTTAAAAGATGTAAATTTGTATTTAAGTGACTCACATTCCATTATTCCACGTTAACTTACTGTTGTGTCATTTCTCTATCATCATTACTGTGCTTACGACTCTACGCCCAACTCCAATATCCCCGTCTCCCTCAAAATCTTTCAATATGGCGGGACCCGCTTTCCTTTTGATCAGCTCCTCAACCACGTCATAGGTCTTTCTCAATGAAGAATTAGAATAGACCAACTCCTTCTAGGATTGGGAAGGGGTGTATCCATAGAGAAAGAGTTCTTATATCTGGTAAGCTGTTTATAGATTAAGGAGTTAGTCAAATATTTCCCGTTTAGACTTTAAAACGAGAAATATATATTCTACGCTGAGTTGACTTTAAAACCACCAGACAAGTGAATTTATGCATCACTAAGTCATTATTTTGAAAATTGTGTTTGGGGGTATTATGTTTGTGTAAAAAGTTTGGCTGACTTTGGCTGCGTTTGGAAAATGGCAGTTCGGCCAAAAATCAGCTGTTCTGACCAACAACGGTTGTTGAGTCTCCAAAAGCCAATTTTTGAAACGCTAGCCTCCTTAGCGTTTTAGTTTGGCAGTTGCTATTATTACTTTTATGTCCTTATTTATAAAATGCCTTGTTGCAAATCTGATCTTGTGGTGGACACAAAAAAAAATTATGCGTACAAAGAAAAGAAAAAAAAAGTGTGGAGTTTGTATTTGCTTTTTTTAAGCAAGGGATGTACGAAGCATTATTTGTGTGTGGCTATTGAGCAAAGTAACATTATTTTTACCACTTTATACTTGAATATAAATATTTTGAATACGTTAAGTACAAAGTATGTATAGAGTAATTATTTGTTTAAAGTTAACTAAATAAATATATGAAGAAAAAGAATACTTAAATAAAAAAATCTACTTATAAAATATAAATGTAAATTCTCATTTCTTAAATTTAAAAAAAACGAAGTAGCCTTTTTTGTCCAACAAAAAAAATATATGTAAAGCATTTTCTTGTATAATGTGTGTATTTTATCAAATTAAAAAAAAAATTTAAAATCATACACAAATTAACATAAACGAAAGGATGTCCTTACATGTAATTTTACTCACAAACAGCTAATTATAAACAGCTAAAGTTACGAAACATCTAATTTTTAACACCTAACAGAAACAGTCGGTCAAAACAACTAACTCAATCAGCCATTCAAACCCGCCAACATAAACAGCTAACAGCCAACTGCCATTTTCCAAACAAGGCCTTTGTGTGAAGAGGGGGACAAAATTGGGCATCTTAGCAAAAGCCAATCAATTCACTCCCAAGTAGAATTTGGTTGCTTCAATCATACATACCTTGTGATGTAAGAGCTCATTTCAAACCTTGTTTTCACCTAATAAGCCAGGCCAAGCAAAGAAGGCGCTTCACATTTTTGGGCGCAAAAAAAGAAAAGAAATCCACTAGAAGATGAGAGTCATGTCATTTCCCAACTACCACCGTCGTCCTCTCCCACCGCCACCCTAAACTCGCGAACCTAAACCCATCCACGGCGGCAGCGTTGCTGTCTTTAGCCGAGATAGTCGCCGGACAAATCTCCAAGACGCACACAATGCAAATGCTAAGAGCGCTCTTCGCGACATTGGCTGTCCTTTGCTCTTCCTCTATCGTCTTCTCCGCCACAGATTCCGAGTTCCTAGTAGGAAGCGACGCCTTAAATGGAAGCGTGGAATTCAACATTTCCCTTGCGGCGAGATCTAATGAAGACAGCTTTGCTGGCATGATTGATCGAGCTCTAGAGAAGGAATTCAATGAGACCAATGACCAGTCCAGTGGTTAGTGAAATTTTCACTTTTCAAAACTTATGCATTGGATATTTCCCGTTTTCACAGTTAGAGTTCTTAATGCTCATTCTGGAGTCACTGAGAATTGGTTTTTTTGGCTGTGTTGTTTTCTTTCATAAATTCCTTAAAGTTAACCGGTTTGGGTTGCCACCGTTGGCTCAAAATTCTCTTTAAATGTCCTATGCATTTTACTAGCAGAATTTAGCTAATACTAATCGAACAGTTTCCATAGATAGCCAACCAATCTCTGGCTTTTCTGCCCACAACGTGTCTTCATTTTGCCATTATTCTTCTATTTTAGGTTTAATATAAGTCACTTACATGTTATTTATTCAGAAATTGATCATGGGAGCTTCAACAATAGTGTGGCAGAGCAGCAGGTCTGTCATGTGACACATAGGATTAGTTCTTGATGTTATGTACAAGTCAGTATTTAATTCTAATTTGTACAGCAAAGCTGGCCTTTCTGAAATGGTTTATCTTCTCAGGCAGTCCTTGAAACGGTTGCCAGGGTCAAGTCCAAGAAGAACGAGACAAGAGAAGTGAAGTATGCACTACTATCTCGGCATTGATCTAATATTACAAGTTTATCTTACTAGAGCATTGTTACTAGTTTACTACTACTACCACTCTTGTATTCTCTAAAAGATCCAACTAAACCTTTGGAATTTTGTACAAGGTCCTTTCAGCTGCATAATGTTTTCAACTTGGATGACAACGGAGCTGAAGATACACCAACATTGATAGATCAAAAGGTACTTCAATACTCATATACAGCATATGATTTGCCTGTTTCTTTCTCTGGTATTTGTCTATGCAATTGGTCCTGGCAAATCATAAATATGATTATGGACTCTAGTTTGTTGAAGTGGTATTCAACAATCAACATAAATCATTGTTAAATTGTTTTCATAGGACAATGTCTTTATCATTTCCAACCCAAAGTCCAAATTTCCTGTCTTGCAGCTTGATTTAAGGTTAGTTCCCATACTTGGTCTTTCTTACGTAGTAAGTAGCAACTTATCTTTCGATCTGAATATTTTCTTTGCTCTTGAGTCTTGACAGATTAATATCAGATCTTGTTGTTGTGATTGTTTCTGCAACTTGCGGTGGTATTGCCTTCGCTTGTGCTGGACAACCAGTATGATCTCTATGTATTCTTTGTTAGGGCTCACCTTATTTTGCTTGTTGATGAGTGGTTACCTTTTTCTTTAAACAGATTATTGTGTAAATACCATCGTATGTCTAATAAGAATGCCTCATATGCTCCCCTGCAGGTTTTCTCAGGGTATTTGCTAGCTGGATCCATTATTGGACCTGGAGGGTTAAACTTTGTTAGCGAAATGGTTCAAGTATGTCTTAATGCTGTAGTTATTATTATGTTTTCGGCTGAAAGTGTAGAACTGAACTCTAAGCTGAATTCTGAAATGCATTGTCTAGCATATGATTTGCAAAACCACTATTAATCACAAGACACATGTTTTTTTAATAATAAATTCTGAATTCTAGTACTATGCAGTTTGTATTGAGTTGTCCAGTATCAGTTTTTCTGCTTACCTGTTTTTTCACATGCTCTTTTAAGTTGTTTGCTTTCTTTTTATTTTCTTCTTCAACATTTTTACATCCTAATTATGTTTCCAGTGAAATAGTGAATAATAGCTTTATCATGCAGGTAGAAACAGTTGCCCAATTTGGTGTTATTTTCCTTCTTTTCGCACTGGGTTTAGAGTTTTCCACAGCAAAGGTTAGAATTGGTTTTCACACTGACATATAGGACACTAATTGCTTTTCCCTCCATTCCAAAATTATCTTCCCATGTGAAAATGTCACGGAGATTAAGAGTGAAAAGAAAATTATATAAATGTGCATGTCTACTACTTTGGCTTTGGTAAAAGTGAAGTGAAAGTAGTAAATATGTAGGTTGTTGAGGGTATAACTGTATAAGTCAAAGGTGCATGCCCAAAAAATGAAATGTGATGTTGATTTTGGGACAACCAGAAAAAAAGAGTATGGGAAGTTAATTCTGGGATGGAGGGAGTATATAATGTTAACATTGTAATGTATAGGATTTTTTAACTGCAGCTTCGTGTTGTTCGAGCTGTTGCTTTGTTAGGGGGGTTACTCCAGATATGTCTTTTCATGTGCTTGTGCGGGATAACAGCCTTGGTAATATTGTTCTATTTCTTCTGATATCTCTTTGTGAAGATTCATAGTTTCAACTAAGGCTGAATAAATATTTCTGCTATGCATCCTTGGATATTTTGCATTCCACAAAACATTGATTGAATACTGTTACAATATTTTGGTTCCTAATTTCTTCAGATACATATATTCTAAATTTGTAATGATGCTTTCTGATACTTGCAGTTGTGTGGAGGAGAAGCATCAGAGGGTGTTTTTGTTGGTGTGTTCTTGTCAATGTCTTCAACTGCAGTGGCAAGTTTTACTATTAATAATATTCTTCAAATCTATGGGATTTTGTAATATGGCCCAGACTCGAGTGTAATTTCAAATTTATTTGACAAACTGAACCTATTATTCACTGTTTCTCAAGAACAAGGGCATGCATAGTAGCTTTGTTTCAGACTTATGGTAGATTTGCATGTTTGCTGTATATTTTACGAGAGTCATTTTTACAATGTTTTAGCTTCTTGTAAATAAGAACTAAATGAAATGGCTCTTTACACTCCACATGCTTCTTACCCCATCCATGCTGAAATAAAAAGTGTGATTGAAATTTGTTAGAGGAGAAAGAAAACTTGCGAGTCACATGTTTTGTTCCTTATTAGGAAAAGGAGAAGTGTGAAGTATTGACATTTGTTAGAGAAGAAAGAAAACTTGCGAGCCACATGTTTCATTCCTTACTAGGTAAAGGAAAAGTGTGAAGTTTATTTTGGGATGGATGGACGGAAAATGAAAGTGTGATGTTTACTTTGGGACGATGAGTACTTTTTGTTAAAATTTCGGCTGCAAATGCATCAAGGGTCTTATGGAAACTTGGAAACAAGTAAACATCTATAATTTTTATAGGGGTGATGTTGTGTACATCTTAACCTCCATACCGCAATGGAGTTGGGACTTGGGGTTATACTGGGTTTCTTCCTGAGTTCCTGTTGTTTTAGTGTATATTTTATAATTCAAGCTTTCGCTGGTACTAGAAAGAACCTTGAGATACTTCTGTTATAAATGCCTATAGGCTTCATATTTTTTCTCAAAGAAATGATTCTCAGCTTTGAGACACCAATAAAATAAAACTTTAGAAACAATTCTCTTTAACCCTGCAAGTCAATAGTAGCTCTCTTAGAGTCTTAATACATGCTCTATTGTTTTACTCACCTAATATTTGCTTAACTTGTTAACTAATAATTCGGATAAACAACATAGATTATTTGTCAAAATATTATGCTATTGCATCTTTTTTGTGAATGTTCTGGCTACAGAGGGATAATATATCTTTTAACTTACAGGTATTGAAATTTTTGATGGAGAGAAGTAATATCACTACGCTTTACGGACAAGTTACCATTGGAACCCTTATTCTACAGGTTTTAATAAAAAACCATTATCTTTCCTTACAAGATTTCACCATTAATGTGCACTAAATTGAACTTTTGAAGTGCTTTGATTATTTTTATGCTATGCTGTCATTTATAAAAATATGAAGTAGACTCTTTGTGTCAGGACTGTATGGTAGGTTTACTATTTGCACTGCTTCCAATTCTGGGTGGTACTTCTGGGGTTCTTCCTGGATTGATGTCCATGGGAAAAATGTAAGTAGTAGTTGATAAAGCTTTACATTGACACAACAAAAACACAAAAAAATACAGTTGTTTTTTTGCTGGTCCATGATTTACCATGGTTTTTTGGGTTACAGATTTGTGACGTTGGCTACATTTTTAGTCATTTTGTCAATATTCTGCCGCACATGTGTGCCTTGGTTTCTTAGGCTGATGATAGGCCTATCATCACAGGTGATTTGACATCTTAATGACCCATGGTCTGCACAACTGCACACGTAATAGTTTGCTTGACTATTTTTACTAAAATTCTTGCAGACTCATGAACTATATCAGCTCGCATCTGTTGCTTTCTGCTTGCTTGTTGCCTGGGTTTGTCTCATTTCCTATTTCTATTAACTACATCACAGTTTTCATTCTTTTTAAGATATCATGCCTATTTTCACTATTATTTTTAATTAATCCTTTACATCATTCTTTTTTGTTTATTTTGCACATGCTAGTTGAACAATATGCTGAGCTCAAACTTAAATGCTATTCAATATGATTTGCTCAGACTTCATAGTGTGTTAACAGTGTGGCTGGGTTATATTTAAAGTAGGCTTCTTATATCTTGTCATCAGTGTAGTGATAAGCTGGGTCTTAGCCTTGAATTGGGCTCTTTTGCTGCTGGATTGATGATATCAACAACAGATTTAGCTCAACATACACTTGATCAGGTTTCATTTCCTTTTCTCCTTTCTCGTTATTGTATTCAACTATCCATTGAATAATGAAACTTTTCCAAGGTTACTTCTATGTAAAAGCTTCCTGCTGGTCTTTTTTTTCTTAGTGATGTTGTGGAACTGTTGTAGGTTGAGCCAATCCGGAACTTCTTTGCAGCTCTTTTCCTAGCCAGTATTGGCATGCTTATCCACGTTCATTTTCTGTGGAGTCACATTGATATCCTACTCGCATCCGTTATTTTGGTAATTGTCTTCAAAACCATTGTGGTTGCAACAGTGGTCAAGTGTTTTGGTTACAACAACAAGACTTCACTTCTTGTAAGTCTTTTATTTTATTGGTCACTTGACCCTTTCTCAAAATATATGAAAGCTGAAGTTTTTCAGTGTGTTAGGTTTGTGTGTGTGTGTGTAAAAGAGTGTGTTGCATCACTTTTAGGTTGGAATGTCTTTGGCGCAAATTGGGGAGTTTGCCTTTGTTCTTCTAGGCCGTGCTTCAAATTTTCATCTAGTTGAGGTACTTTGTTTTGTGGTTGACCCCTATTCTGTTTACTAATGCATGTGATATTATTTAGCTTTTGTGAAAGTTTTAAGAATAATTATAATACGCGATCATATTCTGTTCAATTGAACCCTAGATGGGCGGTTAAATTTGGTTACGGTTGCAGGGCAAACTGTACATGCTGCTTTTAGGTACCACAGCTCTTAGCCTGGTACATAAATTTTTCTCCTTCCTATTATTTTATCTGAACCTATTACAATAAGTACGGTACTAAATATTCAGTATATGACAGTTTTGCTCACAGATTATCTATTACACTAATTTATTATACTCCGTACTGTACAGGTAACAACTCCATTACTGTTCAAACTGATTCCTGCAGTAGTGCATCTTGGGGTTCTACTGAGGTGGTTTTCTGCAGATATCCCTATTGAGGTATACATCTGCTTCCAATTACATTATTTACATCTGACACTAAGGCTATATTTTGATCAAGCTAAATGTTAGGGAAAGGAAATGACGAAATAAGTAGCAAGGAAAGCTATTTATATATGTTGGTTTTATTTTGAAAAACACGAAAGGAAAACCAAAAAAAACATTGCAATACAACACGGTATAATCCCAACTCTAAAAACGAATCTGAAAAAATATCCAACATTGATTTGTTGAGTAAGAACCTATTCTTTTCCAATCAAAACATCCCCCCCCATTTTCATCTCATATTTTCTTTTCCCAACATTTCCTAGTTCCAAATGAGTCTTATGTGTTTCAATTATCCTTAATGCATGCCCCAGAACCGATCTGGAAGTAATTCATTTGCTTGTTTCTTTTGGGTGTCTTGCGTATGAATTTTTCATCCAGAGCGGATCTAAAGGAGATACGAGCATGCGAGCAGACAGTGCTAAGCGCATCACAGTCTTGGTCCAGGGCTCCGTCATGCGTGATACTATGCAATAATAAAAAAAGACTATATATATATATATATATATATATATATATATATATATATATATATATATATCAACAGAAAAGAAATACTGAGTAGCAGCAAATCTCAGATTTTGTCTGATGGCACTTGTTATCTCTGGGCAACCAGAAGTGCCCGAGACTGTGACTGATTGATCTTGAGTGTGGACCACACTTGTTAATACACCCAAAATATGTTCTGCTGATGACACGGTTGGAAGTGCGGAGAAATTAGGTGCACGACATTCTCTTACTCTCTAAGCATATGCATCCTCAAGGGTTTTCGTTTCTGATGAAACAGTCAACATAAGTCACTGCTAGTAGTAACCTTACCCATCTAAGTTTGCAATTGTCACACAACAATTTTCTTACCGCTTCCTTTCATTAGTAGATTCTAATCTTTCCTCCATTGATTGATGTAAATAAGCAGAATCCACTCATCTTACCATTATTGGACTCGGTTAGTTTCGACAGTGCAGCCCCCTTTTCAGTTTTCACTTCAAGTTTTCGTACCCAAGGATTTGAAGTTTTCGGTTAAGATGGCCTATCATTGCTCTATGATAATACAGTGCTTTCTCATTCATCTTTGTAGTATGATCAAACTAGGAGTTTTGGAGTAATGGTTTGTCCGCTACGATACGTAAAGGTAAAATATGAAGTATGTATGAACTTTTGAGAATAACTATTCCCAAAGAGGGTGTTTACATTAGGTTGATATGATGTTTCGAGATCAGGAAAAATTACAATTTATGAGTTTTGAAATACAAAATGGTAGTATTTGAAGATGCCTTAAATCTAATATTGTTCTCAGTGACATTCGAGGGTGGGTGGTCCGTGATTGATGAAGATATCAAATCTCATGGACTGATATCTTCCAAAATTTGGAGGGTTGTGACATTGAGATATCTAATTTAAACTTTGTTTAGGCTTCATCATATATAGTGAGATGGTTTAAAAATAAGCAATGATGAGAAGAGATATGTTAATGTGGAAACTCAATCGAAAAAAAGTTATAGATGTTTTTTTGCAGGTATCTTGTAGACGGTTAATATTGTGAGTTTGTACATGTACAAAGTTAAAAGTAGGTTCTTATGCCCAAGAATATGATATGTCACTATTATACATTGTTATTCTTTTTTAGTGTTATTGACTCGATTACAATATAGTATCAGTTTATTTTTTTCTCAACCTAATGATGTACAAAGAGTGGTTACTCTTGTGACTATAACAAGGTGTCATACATAGCTGTCTATGCAATATGTCTTTTGACCCACAAGTTCTAGCCATGATGATGTAGGTTGGTCCAACCTCGTGCATGGACTCTTTGTCAAGTTCTCATAATGATTGATGCTAGGGACCGTCATCATGTCTGCGTAAAACGCGTCCTGTTTGTATTGCGTAAAAACGTTGATCGGGCATCATTTTCTTTTCGTGGTTGGGCTCGAATTTCTTCATCTCAAACTCATATTTTGAGATGGTTCTACCTTGGCAGGTCATAATATTTTATGATTGGGCTTGGTCTCTCAGTGCAGTGATTATGACCAGACATCCAACCTATCAATCCTTTGTCGTTCAGAGTTATGACTGGATTCGTCCTTTGAATTGATTTGATCTAGGTAGATTTGACCTAGGTATAAATTATATCCATCACTATGGTTTCGTGGTCAATCTGGAGTTGATGAAGTCAGTGTTTGTCGACCATGCAGGTTTTTTTTCGAGAAATGCATGTTGTTGTTGGCCATGTAGGAAATTGTCTAATTTATGGCCGTGATTAAAAACTTATCTATTGATATTAAGTTTATATCAATAGGAGACAAGCATGAAGGAGATTAATCTATTGATATTAAATATATGTATACCATAACACACACTAATGCATATTTCTTCCACATTTATGGTCAAGTTTAATAATATCAACCAAAAAAAGTCAAATATGAAGAAGGTTACGAGACAAAGGGAGTAATAAATACTCGGTATATAGTTGATTTTGATTTTAAACAAATTGAAATCCGACATCCGACACCATTCGTGTTTATAAATGTCGGTGAAATGAGTAGTAGGTAACAAAATTAGGTAGCCTAAGCATAATTCAAAAAATAAGTATATACTCCGCAATTGCACTTTTCTATACTCATAAAAAAGATTCATACTCCGTAAAAAAGTTAAACTAATTGAAGATTAAAAAAAACTCAAGCCATAAACTACTCGTAACATATGCACCAACACTTTTTACATTATTGCACAAAAATAAAATGGATTAATTCGAGAATATTCTACCCCACAAACTGTGAAATTCCAAGAGTACCCTCGTAGCTAGAACCTGGCCAATCCTTGGTTCGGATTAGTCTCCCATTGGGTAGAGCAACTTTCATAGCTATATTTATTTAGAGTTACACAACTAATCACTTCCTCCATAAATAATCCCCACATTTCGGATTAGGATATTTAACCGAAATTATTTTCAAATCAATTTACGGAGTATATGATTACTGAGGTATAATTGAAAAATAAAACTTATGCAGAGTATATTTAAAAAAGGTAGTACTTTATAAAATTGTACAAAATAAGTGATTACAAGACTATTTTATTTTATCAAAAGATCAAATAAAAGAGGGAAAGAAAAAAAATAATTTGATCTTGTGGATAATAAATGAAAAGATTATTTAGGGACGGAAGAAGTATATAACAATTTTAAAGGTATATAGTGAGTATACATCATCCCCAATGAGTGAAATGGCTCCACAATGATTTTTTCCTTTTCATTAGATGATTCCATTGTCTCATGTGGGAAGCTTTTGGAAGTTCCATATTCTTATCATTCTTGGTCATCCATGCCTCCTTTTATGTTTCTTCCCATGCCATTCTTAAATGTCACATTCCAACATCCTAAGTACCTGTGTATATATGCACAAAAGAAAGTTAATTTAGAATTAGTTTTGATTAAACTGGCTAATTGATTGAATTCGATCTTTTAACGTGATTTGACACCTGAGACATCCGAGGTCGTGAGAGAGGGTCGCGTTGGATGCACAACGCGGCACAATGCATCATCGAATACACCTCTTCTTCTACATAGCCGCAGTTCATCAAGAAAGGGTCTAGAAGGTCAGCAATGGCACTCTTTTCCAGCAAAGGCCGTGCCTGCTTGCAGGAAATGAAATAGACAAGGAAATCAAATCAACTAAAAGCTGAAGCTTCTTGTGTTTTAGGTTCAGGAATGGTTTTATACTCTAACAAATTGTGAGGGTGATGAGGGGGAGAATGTAGGTCATACGTACCCACTCGGTGAGGGACTGTTGGCCCTTGGGACGGTTAACATCCATAGCTTTTCTTCCCGTGATGAGTCCCACAAGTATGACACCAAAGGAGTACACGTCTGCCTTTTCAGTTATTTCGCCACTTTGGGCATACTCTGGAGCTAAGTACCTTAAAAAAACATTGAGGGCTTATGAGTTTTTTTTGTTCAACACTTTTTGTTTAATGCTATTGTCTTGTTTGGAATATTATCCTTCATCTTTTTTACCCGAATGTTCCAATTATTCTTGTTTGGACACCCAAGTCTCCATCGGGTTGCCATCGCGCAAGTCCAAAGTCTCCAACCTGTTAACAAGAAAGCAGTATTTTCAAGCTATATTTGTTTGATGGCTTAACACTTTGGTGGAAAGATATGGGAATTCAAGATGGGATGGAGGAGTACCATTGGCTCAAAATCATGGGTAAGAAGAATGTTATTTGGACGCATGTCGCGATGCACAATGCATCCCACTCTGCATTCCTCATGAAGATATCTCAGTCCCCGGGCAGCCCCAATTGCAATTCTCTGTCTTGCAGGCCAGCTTAAAAGATCTTTCTTCTTGCGCCCTGTTTGGAAGAATGAAGAAGAAGCTTTGTTTGTAAGCTGCTGCTTTGAATGAAAATGATTTGTTCAAGTAGAGAGAAAAGCGGAGTACCATAAAGATGAGCATCCAAGGATCCATTGCAAATGTACTCATAAACAAGCAACCTTCTTCCATCCTCCACACAAAACCCAATCAAAAGCACAACATTTCGATGCTGCGCACAGCTCAAGACTTCGACTTCTGAGCAAAATTCTTGGTCACCCTGAGAACTAGTAGATTTGTACTGCTTCACTGCTATAGCTTGCCCATCTGGCAACACCCCGCGGTGCACGGACCCATACCCACCTTCAGCCAAGAAATTATCTTGACAAAACCCGTTGGTCGCGTTTTCCAGCTCAGCAAACTTGAACCACCTCGGCGGTTTCCCAAACACAGGTGCTTTGCGCTGACACATTGAACACAGTGGAGGTGGCTCAAGGAGAGCTTTATTGGATAAAGTTGCAATCTTTCTCAAGTTCTTTGTTAGTTCCATCGAGCTTCTCCCAATCCCATCATTTACTCCTCCTTTTTTGAGTTCTTGATCTTCTTCAAAGAATTTCACATGTGACTCATCCTTAACAGCAATAGTACTCAGAATGTTGTTTGTGGACAATCTTTGTAAACTGAAAGTGGAGTCTGTTGTCCATTGCTTGGAAGACATGGTTGTTGAGGGAGAAGAACACAGATTTTCACTATCTGTATTTGTATCAGATTCATCATCAAAAGAATAATGGGAAAATCCGATTTTCTTTATGTCCCAATTGATTTCAGAGATATATCCAGAGACCGAGGATGATGTCCTAGCTGCGTCAATGCTTGTTTTATGATCCGGGCTGCTAACTGGAGTCGCGTTTGGCACCTGAATCTCATTGCGGGTATCAGCGAGTTCTTCTTCTACCATCTTTGTCCTTGATGTTTCTGGTCCAGAGACATCTCTAGTGTTGCAGCTTGGTGATCCGAGGAGATTCAAACGAAGCACCTTTGGGTGACTCTTTTTCATCATGATCACGACGTTGCACTCTAGTTCTTCTACGCAACTTTTTGCTTCTTTCTTCATCCTCCTGCAATATGACACACTTCAGAGTTCAGAATATGAGCCATGGCATTGAAGTATTTGTCAAGGAACAAACTCAAAAAAATAATAAATGATGCGGTGTTAGGCTAAGCCTACACGAGTGGCCCAAATGGGAAACGGGACGTGTATCTTTTCACACCGATTATTTCTTCATACAAGTAAAGTAATAGTCTTCAGAAATTATGGGTTGCAAGCTAAAAAGAGTCATAAGGTTAAAAAAAAGTACTTTACTAGGCTATATTTACGGAGTAATTAACAATGAAATGGTAATGAGTGTGAACCCAAAAAAAAAACAAACAGGAAAACTACTTATCCAAAACCACCCAATGAGAATGAGTTTTCTTGGCTTCTGCAGCAACAATCCCACAGTCTGACCCAGAAATGACTTTGATCTTCAACCTTACCTGAAATTTATGGTAATTTTGTGAGAACTCTATGGATGATGATGATGCATTAGAATGCAAAAAAAAAGAGTAGAAAATAAAAATCACACTTTATTTGGATCAAAAAGATGATTAAGTTGGAGCACGAGCTGGGCGCACGAGTCCGTGATGTAATCCTTTTGATCTGCAGGGGTTCCCGAGAACGAATTCCAGTTAGTCGATGCACAATCGCTGCCAAATCTCTGAAATCCCCACAGTTTTCTACCTGCAAAATGTACATTTTTCAGAACTGTATATCTTCAACACACTAAAAACAAGCATTTCAACAAATGGGTTCATTCAAATCCAAGAATTATTATGGGCAACTATATGCATCCACAAGAACACATTCAGTTCAGCAATATATATAGATTCATAGCATAATCTCACAAACACATCTGTAAAAACACAGCCATATCATCAGTCTAAAGAAAAAAAAGAGGCAAGAAGGGATATGAAATACTTGAAGAATGATGATCTGGAATGACCACCAAGAGCTTAACAGAATCTCCAGGCAGAACAACATGGGTGAGGGCCCACACAAGGGCATCTCTTGGGACATTCATGGAAGCTTTAACAGCCACAAGAACACCCCTGCTCCTTCCCACACCCAATCTTCTCCTCCCCCCTTCCCCACTCTCTTCTCTCAAACTCATCCTCAGCACTCCAACAACCTGAACCCTCCTCTCAAATCACTACTGTGGGATTCATTATTTTTGAGCTAGGAACTCCAATTTTCTTGAATTTTAGCTATTCGGAAGCAATGTTAAATACAAAAAATCAAACAAAAAAAAGAAGAGAGGAATTTGTTTTCCCAGTAGAGGGGGGAATGAAACAGTGCAGTCAAGATTGGGATTTGGGATGTAACTGAAAGGTATTGTGGTGTGGTGTGGTGTGGTTCCAGGGTATGAAGAAGAATGTGGCAAGTGTGACCCCAAAACAGAAAGCAAAAGGGACATTTTTTTATTTAATTATTATGTAGAAAGAGAAAGGGAGGGAAAGGAGGAAATAATAATGCCAGCAAATTTACCGGCCACTTTTCTTGTTTTGTTTTTATACTCCGTATTTATTCATCTTCTTCACCTTCTTTTGGGAAAATGGTTAATATCTTCCCATTAATTTTTAATTGTGCAGATTAATTTTTAATAATGCACTAAAATATGGGTTGTATTATAAAAAACAGAGCTGATGTCAAATGGGTGTTTCTTGTGAGATGGGGTAATACTTGGAAAGGGACAACAATTGTTGGAAAACTATTGACTTTGAGAATTTTGTTAGAGTCTATGAGCAGATAAATTTGAAGAGACCGTTTATAATCCAAGAAAGATTTTTTTTACAAAGTTTAAAAATAGAGCAAGAAAGAAGATTTTTTCCTCAAAAAAAAAAGAAAGAAGAAATTTTTTTTTAAAAAAAAAGCTTCGATCCCGTAGGAAGAGAGCATAGACCGAATCGGATTTATTTTAGAAGAAAAGGGTTGATAAAAAATAAAAAAAGAAGGCCCACGATAGGAGTTTTAGGTCTGATACTATGTTTGAAAAATTTGATTGCTTATGAAAAACTAAGAGTTAGGTATAAAGCTAAATAGTAATTAGTGTATTTTGTCTAACAAAAACTATGAAAAGACTTATAAAAAGAACGGGGGGGGCTATTTTGGGGAGAAAATATTTATTGTGGCTCAAATGCTAGCTAGAGTAACCCCAAGGGCTTCCATTTGGAGGTGTTTAGCTGTATTTGGCAATTTCATTCTCAAACATGGAAGCTAAGAACCAATGACTGACCTAAGGCGTTTGGCAACCAACTCTTAGTTACTCTATCCGTATGTACTAGCTAAAATAAAATATTAAAATAAAAAGACTTATATTATAATTCACAATATCCATTGACGATTTTGATTAAATAATATAATTATATGACAATATTAACATGAAAAAACATTTTTTACTACTCCTTCCGTCATAATATTCACATCACAAACATTTTTCTTCTTTTTTTAATGCTTATTTTCATTAGTTATTTACTCCGTATTTAAATCTTGCAGTCATATTTTCTACTAATATTTTTTAACGCATTTGATATGGTTTTCATATAAAAAAAAGTTTCGTTGGGGATTTTATATCTCCATTTAAGTAAATCCATTTGAAAAATAAATTCATAAAAAATAAAATATTCAAAATGAAACTTTAATATTGGGGGGCAGAGAGGGAGAAAGTATCATAAAAAAAGAAAGAAAAGAAAAAGCCGGAAGATATGATGGAGGCCGAAGATGGACATCTCTTTTTCTTTCTTGGTTTCATTTAGTTGGAACTTTAGCTTGGGGTTCATTATTTTCTATTCACTCTCTATTCACACACGGTACATTAAAAAAAAAGTGCCCTATATTTTTTTATTCCTCTTAAATTAAGGAGTAGTAGTTCACTTTGTCAAATTTTTTTTCTTTTCAATTATGGATTTTTTTTTAGAATTTCTTAAATAGAAAATGCTACGCTGATCAGAATTAAAGCTTAGAAAGCGGTAGAATTTAGAATGATGGAAGGATTTTTGGATTGAGTCATAAAGACTTTGATTGAACTAAATTAAAAGACTTGATCTAATATATTATTTAGTTCAGATCAAAAGCTTATATATTACGTAGTAATTATTTTTTTCCAATTTCTAATGTGAATACTTTAACACTATGTTTGGTTCAAGGAATTGAATTTGAGATGAAAAGAGAAAGTAAATGAGAAACAGACCATTTTTCTTGTTTGATTAGAGTGGAAAAGAAAATAAAAGTTGAATGAAAAGAAGATGAGAAGACAAGATGTACTAAGAGGAGGGAAAACTAAATTTCTCCCATTTTTTGTGAGGAAACTGAAAGAAAAGCATTTTATTTTCTTTTTCTTCTAAATTTCTTGAACCAAGCATAGTGTAACAGAAAGATTTACTCCCTCCGTCCCTAAATATTTGCAACGTTTGCTTTTTCAGCGTTGCGGGAATTTTTGTTTATTTTTACGTTTTTATTGGTTATTTGATAAAATAAAATATCCTTGACACCTCTTATTTCGAAGAACTTTTCATGTAATTTTTTGATATGTAAATTTTATTTTTTATTTCTATACCAATATGTAAATAAAATGAATTGAAAATACTTCATGTTTTGTCTCGGGAATACAAGTGTGACAAATATTTAGGGGCGGAGGGAGTATAAGGCATCGACATCTTGATTATTAAGAAACTAATTCAATCACAAATTCAAATTTGTACTAGGAGGTCAGCAAAAGTTGTACGATGCAATTTGATCCTTGCCACGGTCATACTCTCTTCGTCCCAAAAAGAATGCAACAATTACTATTTCGGTCGGTCTCTCGGTAACTTTCGTTTATTTATTCGTTTCGGTTGACCATTTGATAAAATAAAATATTCTTGTCGCGTCTTGTTTTGTAGAACTTTTGATTAAATTTTGAACGATGTAATTTTTACTTTTTATTTATCTTCCAATTCATAAATATATAAAATGATTTTAAAACAGATGATATTTTACAAGTTCTTCAAAATGTTATAAATAATTCAGGCGGAGGAAATATGTACCTCTTTAAAACAGAAGAGGTACTAAAGATTAAGACACCTACCAGATTAACTCTTAGAAACGACGATTAAGGTGACAATTTGTAGCATATAAGAAGCTAGTGCACATTTAAAAGAAGTTTCATTTTACTATTCATACAGTTTTACATTTGTATAACTTTTAGAAACAGATTGAAATAGATTCAATGAACATAAATGTATCTTACATTATGAAACAAGTGTACTTAAGACCTTATCTGGAAATAACATTTTTTATTAGCGTTAATATTTCTGATAAGTTTTTGACGATATAAATTAATTTTAAAAACACTAAGAATAAGAGATGTAGTTATATAATCATTTCAAAATAATAATTCTAATATCTAACCCCTCTAAATGATTGCAACAAGTAGAAAGATGCAATTAAACAAAATATTAGGGAGTGTTTTGGTTCATGATATGGTGACCCATGGATCAAGTGGTGTTATTAGTATATACTCCCTCCGTCCTAAAACTATCTTCCCGTTGCGCAAAACGAAGAAAAATTCCAAGTTTTTTCAATCTATTTTATTTAAATATTGGTATAGAAATAAAAAATAAAACATACATATTTAAAAACTACATCAAAAGTTCAACAAAACAAGTGGTGACAAGAATATTTTATTTTATCATATATGCCATGAAAAAACACAAATAAATATAAATTCCCGTGAAGTTGGAATAGTGCTCTGGAAAGAAAGTTTTAGGACGGAGGGAATACAAAAGTATATGGTCCCTGCAAGTATCAAGTGTTAATTCTACTTGTTGTCATCAATTTACGATTAAAATTTAATTTATCTCTTTCCAGTTATCGTTCGACTGGATTTGAGAAGACTTTCAGGAATGGGGCCCATTCTTTAGTACTCCCTCCATTCTAAATTGATCTTTTTAGTTCAGTTTACGAGGTTTGACTAAAACTATTTTCAATTCAATTTATTTGATTATAGATACAAAATTAAAAAATAAAAATTATATACTTTAAAACTACATCAAAAGTTCTACAAAATAAAAGATAATATAACAAAAATTGATACAAAGAAGCAATTAAAATTTGTCAATTTGAATAAGGAGCGTGCTTCACGTACCCCAAAATTTGTACCCTATTTATACACCAAAGGTATGTATCGACATTTTGATAATTCACACTGACATAAATTGTTTGTGCGTTAACAAAAATTTATACTAACACAAAAATTTAGCACCACACGAATACAAAATGTTGGTACATCCCTGTAAAATAAAAAATGAGATACAAATTCTTGGGCACATACTCCGTATAATTTTATCCTTTGAAATGACCATGAAAATCATTTTCCATACAANTCCCCCCCCCCCCCCCCAAAGCACACGAAAAAGGTTACACTACCAAACATGCTACTCCCTCCGTCCCACTATATTTGTCCACTTTCATTTTTGCACACTATCCAATGCACTTCTTTAATCCATTTTATCTTGTAATTTGTATATTAAAAAATTATAGAAATTATATATTAATAATCTATATGTTAAGACAAATCAAACAGGATCACACATGACTATATTTAGGCTTACACATTGAGAGAATTTGATGAGTCAAAGTGCTTAGATGAACAGTCTCAAAAGTCAAAAGTGGACGAATATAGCGGGACGGAGGTAGTATACAACTAGCTAGGCTGGCTCTACCGATTGTGATGCATGAGAAAAAACATTAATTACTCATTTTTTTGGGAAGATAACGAAATAAAAGGATTTTTTTGAAATTTTGTTTTATTTAAAATTTGATATAAAAATACAGTAAATATTGAGTTTAACATTTACATTTAAAAACCACTTTAAAAGTTATACAAATGTGACTATACATGAAAATAAACATACATGTAAACAAAAAAATCATAAACAAAAAAATCGTAACACTAGAACAGTAAATACTTCATCCGTCCCAAAATGTAAGCATTCAACAGTTACTATTTTGGTTTCTCGATAATTTTTGTTTGTTTACTCGTTTTGGTTGACTATTTGATAAAATAAAATATTCTTGCCGCATCTTGTTTTGTTGAACTTTTGATCTATCTTTGAACGATGTAATTCTTTACATTTTCTCTACCAATTGATAAATAAAATAAATTTAGAAAAGATGATATTTTGCACATCGTTCGAAATATTGCTTATATTTTGGGACGGAAGGAGTATAACTTTTACGAAGTATTTGAAGACCGACAGAATAATTAATTACCGATTGCTCCTTCCACTGATTTTTAATTCACTATTGTAATTTTGTGATACATTAAAATTATGATGGCCAATACTTCCTCCGTCCGAAAATGTTCTTCCCATTTGACCTTTTACGGTCTTCAAGATTGCACTTTGACCAATAATATCTTTATTTATATATACATATAATTTATAGAAATTTGATATTTGAAAACTATATTTCAAAATGAATATATTCATATTAAAGTTATATCGTGATATAATGTATTTTTTCTACATATCATAGTTAAAGTTTACAAACTTTGACCAAGAAAAGTCAAATAGAAAGAATATTTTCGGACGTAGGGAGTATATAAGAGTAGGATAGAAATATCTTTTGCCCCTTAGGTACATGTCATTCGTCATTATATTGTTTAAAATAATCATATAAACATAAAGTAGAGTTTTTTATGATATGATATTCATTTGTTGACCAGGGTATGCAAAACTAAAAGATCCTTTTCTTGTGCCTTGCGTGTTTTGTTTATATTAATAAATAATAATTTTGTTATTGATCAACTTGCGCTTAAAAGGACACCAGCTAAGACTAATTGAAACTTAGACTGTATTTGCATATAAAAAGGACTCGTTATTAAAGGGAACGTAAAATAAATAATCTAGAAACGGAAAAAGGGGAAAAGCCTACAAGCTATGCTGCTGATGGCAGTATGGCACTAGGAGTGTGTTCCGTTTTAGCGGTTCAATTTTCACCTAAAACCAAAGGCAAAATGGAAGGTAAGTTTGCAGTTCGGTTTCACATAAAAATATATAGACCGTTGGTTACGGTTCGGTTTTATGTGGTATTTAATTTGGTTTTTTTTTGGTTTTTTAAAAATAAAATTTATAAGCATTAAAAAATTGTAAAAACACTAATTTGATGAAACAATAACAATATGTAAGGTTGGGTTCCGTTTTTCGGTTTAAGTTTAACATAAAACCAAAAACTGAACGGTCGGTTAGAGTTCGGTTCAATTTTACATAAAAAATATGTGTCGAGTGTTCAACAAACATCAATTACGGAGAACTTGCGTTTTTGGTATAATACTTTAATTTCGATTGTTATTGCTAATATAGTTCCAGATTAGGATTAGTTATTGATGTTTATATATCTGGGTCTTTTAAAGTTTAGAATAAATTTAATCAACTAATTAATTATTTGCATTTATATTTTTATGATTTTTTTCATATCACATATACTCATATAAAATTTTTCAAAGTGAAAACCGAACAATAACAATTCGATTCAGTTTTTTTACCTTCGGTTATGATTTTTTTGGTTTAGTTTTTTTAGCTCGTTTCAATCGATTTCGATTCGATTTCGATTTTCCCAACCCAGCACTAGATGGCACACGTTGAAAGATGAGAGATTAGTATAAAGTTTCGTGATCAATTCTCAACAGCTAAAGTTTGAGAGTATCACCCAATATTATACTCCGCAACTCCCAATGCCACCACTCACAAGACGACCTTTCAATAGACCAAGGTAAAGAATTGTGTTGATGTTAATAACTCCTTTGTTGCGATCACTATCTCATGTTATTAGTGTTTCATCCCGAAGATCTACGCTATGTTGATGTTTCTATGTACTTATAAGCTGGTTAGCACTAGTTATAAGTTATTTTTAATTCATAAGTCAGCTGATAACATGTTCATCTATGCTTATAAAACGACTTATAAGTTATTTATAAGCCATAAAAAAATAAATGACCTTTTGTGAAAATAACTCTTTGAATCTTAATTATTCCCACACGAAATTGGAGCTAGAAAATTGTTCTTAAACTTCATATCACTATTTTGTGAAGGCTATCTGTTAATCTTCAAAACTCGTTCAGGACCTTGGTTAGACTAACAAAACCAACCTTAATAGGTTTTGGTTATATCAGAAGAAAAAAACAAAACCGGGTTCTTTCCTCTTGTTCTACACATGAAAAAAAAGATTCATAGTGAAGATAAAACTTAAATGATCCAAACACGTCATCCAATTCCTCATGCTCTACCAATTATTAGCAGAGATTGTGCCCAAAAGTATGCCCACAGCTCTAATAATCTGAAACACAAATTTCTTGAAAGAGGATAACTGTGAAGAACAATCCCTCTGTCCTTACTAAACAAAAAGCCCTTACTCTCTCATAGGGCATTTATCATTCTCTTCATTTCACTAGACCTCCTGGGATCTGGTTCATCAATTGCTCTCTCCGTGAGCACGTGTTTGATTCGGCACATAGATTTCCTTACCTGAACAGAAATCATCCCACAAATACGAATGAGACAGACAAAGATAATAATCAGACTTTCGAGGCTCAGCAGATTAACTATCACACGAGTGCAGTTGAAATTGCTAATGCACACTCGAAACAGATATTATAATATGGCTACTAAATTGTGTAGTGTCCACTTCTAAGGACTCATCAGTACTATATGTGCACAACTGCACAATCTCAAGGATTAAACTTTTTGTACACTAAAAAGTGTAGAACAAGGTTACATTGTTACACCAACCCCATTTTTGCATTCCAGCGACAAGATTTGTCTTACAAGAATTGAATGTGAAAGAGTTTGGTCTTTGAAGAGAAAAAATGAAGTTGGTGTAACCTTGGTGTACCCCAAGCATAACCCCAACCCTAAACATGCATGCCGACACCTCAACCTCTCCATACGTTCCGGACTTAATCTAGATCCTAGACCTCCTCTTGCATCACCTTTTCTTTTGCATACCCATTTCATTTTTTTTCCACTAGAAATATGGAATTTGTGCAGTCACATGACTCACATTCAGAGAAAAATACAGTATTTATTAGTAGAACACTAAATAAGCAGCATATGGTCAAAAGTCACAAAAGCCACCCGCTAAAACTGCATTGCAATTCACACATAAAACAGTCAGTGACACAATTGAATTGAAGATTCCATGGCATTATCTTCTGAAGTATGAGAAAACATAATACAGAGTAAGAAAAAGTGCCACGCTTAGAGCTTTTTTCTTTCTACTCATCCATTTGGATGGAAATAAGAGCAGGGAAACAAGAAAACAAACACTCCCTTCCCAGTATCTTTGTTTCTTTTTACTATTTTTGTTTGTCCCATTCCATATTTGTCAAATTTGTTTTGTCCAAAATTGTTCCAACTTTATACATTACATATTCAATATGAACCACACAGTGAGCAAATTTAGTAGGATGAAGGGAGTATTAGAAGGTTAAGAAGTACCGCCTTTGAAATTAAGGATCATGTGAGCAAATGTTTAGTTAAAGTTTACCTTGGAGATTCGTTCTGGATTTGGAAATCTCAAGTTTTGAGCATAAAGCATTTGACGCTGAGTCATCAACAGATTTTTCTCCTTGAGAAGTACAAACCATAGCTTTTGAAGATCATCCCAGGACTTGAGACGAAGTTCAGATGCCTTCCAGCTCCGACCTGAAACATATTCCTTTTTGACTTTATCAAATAATTTGTGCAATAAAACATTGATCGACTAGAATATAAAGGTCACATTGTGATGATGAAGCATAAAATAAATACTTAATGTTAACTGTATTAAAAGCCCACACTCAATCTCAATATAAAATTTGGCTATAATTATAAGGTTAAATATATACCATATACAACAGGTTTATCATCATCTACACTTCTATCCGCTTCAAAGAACTGCTCGAGTGGGTTCTGTACTGCTCCTCTAGCTGCAGTGCCTGCTGCTCCTACCCCCGTAGATTCAGATTTGGCAGCAGCCAAGAAAGTCCTCCGTAAAAGTCTAACCGCAAGCATAGTTGTAAATAGGTTGTAACTCACGAAAGAGGTGAAAATAAAGCTGAAAGAATATAAAAATATATCAGAATAGAAAATATTGAAATGCAATCTCTTTGTGATTTATTTAACAATAAATCTAAAACACTAAGGGGCTGTTTGGCAACTACTGAATAGGTAAGTGCTGAACCTGTAAGAGGTCTGAACCATTAAGTGTTGAACCAGTAAGTAAGAGGTCTGAACCATTAAGAGCTAGTATATTGCTTAACTATTCAGAGGCAAATGTCTGATCAATTCAGATAAGAGGTCTTAACCATTCAGACTCTGTATAATACTTAACCATTCAGAGGCAAATCTCTTAACCATTCAGACATCTGAACCATTAAGAGGCTGAAACAAACAGTCTAAACCATTAAGTGCTGAACCATTCAGACATCTGAACCATTAAGAGGCTGAAACAAACAGCCCCTAAATATAAAGAGTAATATATGAAAATCAGAAGACAAAATCATACAAACATAACACCAAATGTTAATAATAAACGCTTCGATACATTTTATGTCGTAACTCAAAACCACATAAACATTTCAATACATTTATGTCATAAATGAAAACCACAAAAGCTAAAGATAACATCACCAATGTCATTTTTTAGTCTTACACACCAATAAAACAATACAACAAAACTGCATTCCGCAATTAATCCATCCGGTTCAAGTGACATGTAAACCATTCGGCAATCTGTCCATGTTTAGTAATTTTCACAATCAAACATGATGTTTGAGGACACCCAGTTTTTTAGGTTTACCAGGCACCTATGAAGCACAGGTGCGAGTGCATCGACCGGTGCAGGTGCAAGACTGGTGCGCGGCTGCGAAAATTTCAAAGAAAAAGGTGCAAGTGCGGCAAATTTATTTATACATTTTTTATTTATATTATTCATTTTTGTAAGATACTGAGCCGGGGTCTCTTGGAAACAGCCTCTCTACTCTTGAGTAGGGGCAAGGTCTGCCTGCGTACACACACCCTCCTCAAACACTGGGGATCTAACTGAGTTGTTGTATTTTTTTGTAAGATACATGTATTTATGTTCAAAATATTTGCAAAATATCACAATTGTCCTAATTTTAAATAAATCAAACATATTATAATTAACCCACACTTAATTCAATTAAAAAAAATTAATTGTGACCCTAGCCAAAACCAGACCAGTAGACTACACGGCATAAAATTGCACAGAAACAGCTATGGAGAGAGGCAAATTGCACAGAAGCCTCAATTTTCCACATATTCGAATATCCAAAAAATAAAATAAACAATTTATGACACAATTAAAAAATCGAACCAGTAGAGCAGACATCATAAAATAGCCAAGAAATTGGAAGAGGAAAGAGAGACATAGACTAGGAGAAGGAAAGAGAGAGAGAGGCGGAGAGATACGGAGTATACAGATCGGAGGAGAGAAGAGGATGCCTGAGTGACGCCGGAGAGGGAAGAAGAATCGACGACGGTCGTCGATCGCCGACGAAACTGGGCAGCGGCAGAGTACGGCTCCTGCGCTCTCTCTTTATCGATCGTGCAAAGTCTGACGGAACTCTCAATTTCCGTTTATTAAAATGTGATACTACAATCCAAGTATGTGGTTACAATGGTCCCAAACTTTTTTTTAAAACTACAATCCAAGTCTGTGGTTACAATGGTACGTTATAATAAGACATTAGTTTGTACCGGTATCGTACTAAAATATTAGTCGGTGTGATTCAGAATAGTTTGACATAGCTCACATAAGTTTAGGTACAAATTGAAATGAATACATACATACTTTACACCTTAACTAAAGTAGTGTAGCAATACCCCTTTATTCTTTAAAATTGAAAATGCATTTAAATGGAGAAACATATAAAACTAAAAAAATGAATATTTAAATGCAAGAAATATGTATCAACACTTAGCTATATTTCACAAACTAAAAAACGAATGATAACAAAGTAGTATTTTGAATGTTTGTGAATATTTTTATATTTATATACAAAAAAACTAAAACTCAATTATAACTTACACATAATAGAAATCGAAGCAATTTTTCAAAATAAATTTATTATTTAGTGAAAAAATATAAAAAGATTATAATATATTAGTGTATATGTTCGGTTTGAGATTTTTGGTATGAGACTTCACCTCGTACTGTTCCCAACTACCGCACCAACCGTTTGATTTGGTACGGTTCAATTCTTTTTCATTATTTTTTGGTTTGGTATTCTCAGTTTTTCAAGAAATTTTGGTACTAACAAGGTGGCGTGGGCGAAACGGATCAAGACATCTGAATCGGGGAACTATAGTCCTGTTAGATCTGATGTGCGTTGGTTGCTGAACATTAGTGATGACAACGCCTACATACCAACACCTCCGGAGTCGGAACGACTTGTTGGGATGGATAAGGGCAAAAAAGCAGCATCTTTGCAAATGGCGTTCGAGCCCGTGATGAAAGGGTTCAAGTACTTCACTACTACCTTGTTCATCTTTAATGAATTATATGAAGAGAGGCTTCGGCCTAGGCATTAACCGATAACGAAGAAGCTTGAACTCGAGCGTCAATCAAATTCAGAGAAGCTGGAGCTTGAGCATCAATGAGTAGAACTAGAAGACTTCAATGTAATAACGACTAATGTTGGGAAGCTTGGTCTGGTGGTGCGGGCGTTGATGCTAAAATGAAGGTTGCGATAAGATTACAAAGAGGTGATTTGGAATGCGGGTACCTGGCAACGACAAAAAAAAGATCTTTAAATTTTTTAATGCACTAGTTTTAATTATGTTTCAATTTTATTGTACATTTTAATTTAATTTTATTGAAATACTCAATTGATGTTTTAAGGCTCTGTTCTGTTCAACTTATTTTTTCTGATCTGATCTGATTTTTTGTAGTTCTGATCTGATCTGGTCTGATTGGATCTGATTTGATTTGATTAGATCTGATCTGATCTGATCTGATTTGATCTAATCTGATCTGATCTCATCTGATTAGATATGATCTGATTAATTATGATTTGATTTAAAATTCAAATCAATAATTTGATTTGAGTTTATAGTAACGTTTGAAAATTGTAATGATAATTTATATTATAATATAATCAATATTTTTTATTTTATAATTATTTTTTAATAAAATAAAATTAGTTAATTTATATATTAGACTAATCATTCATATTTTAATGTAATAATATTTTTTATTTTATGATTATTGTTTGTGAAATAAGAATATTGATTTAATATTTTAATAATTAGTTTATACATACATTAGAATAAATATTTAATTTATATAAAATCAATACAGAGAAGAGATAGTATGTTTATTAAAATATCTCATCCTTATAAAAGATCAAAAAATTAGAAACTCAAATTACAGGTAACAATAAAAATGTATTTTAAAAGTAGAATTAGATTGACATTGTCAATGTATTTTAAAAATAATTTTTTCGATGTTTAATAAATAAGGATTAATTTCTCAGTTTTCTATTTAACTTGTTTCTAAAGTTTATTCTTTTTCATTTTTAAGAAGAAGGAGAATAATAATAATAAGAAGAACAACAACAACAACAATAGTAATTCTCTATGGTATCTGATCTGATTGGATCTGATCTGATCTGATACGATTTATTCTGATCTGATCTGATACGATTTATTCTGATCTGATCTGATTCGATCTGATCTGATCTGGTCTGATCTGATTTTAATAAGAATAAGAAAAAAATAAGAAAAAATAAGTTGAACGAAACAGGACCTAAGTTAAGTATATTAAATTAAGTGTTATTTTACAAAATTATAGTGTCAATCATGTGGATATTTTTTATTTTGCAAAAGGTTCACTTCTTTAATATTACAAATGCACTAAAATTAATAAAATGAACATAGATCTTATGTCTATAGAAGAATTGTCTTTTAATTATAGTTGATCAAGTCATTGACCCAAATTTTGACTGGTTATCCCTTGACTCACTTGTTTGTTTGATGTCGAATTTGTTTTCACAATATCCCTAAAAAGAGAAGGAAAATAAAAATAAGAAAAAATGGACATATCATTGACTTAGAGTAAAGTAGAGGGTTTAGGTCCCGTTCCGTTCAAATTTTATTTATTTTTTCTTATTCTTATTAAAATCAGATCTGTTCAGAACATATCAGATCAGATCGAATCAGATCAGATCATATCCAATTAGATCTGATCAAATCAGATCCAATTAGATCAGACCAGATCAAATCACATCAAGAATTATTATTATTATTAATACTATTATTATTATTATCATTATTATTATTATTCTTAAAAATGAAAAAAAATAAATTTTAGAAACAAGTTAAATAGAAAACCGAGAAAGTAATCCTAAATTATTAAACGTCGGAAAAATTATTTTTAAAATACATTGACAATGTCAATCTAATTCTACTTTTAAAATACGTTTTTATTGCTATTTGTAATTTGAGTTTCTAAAGATTTGATCTTATATAAGGACGAGATATTTTAATAAAAATACTATCTCTTCTATATATTGATTATCTAAATTTAACTAGTTTTTGATGTATATATAAATTAAATATTTATTCTAATGTATATATGAAGTAATTATTAAAATATTAAATTAATATTCTAATTTCACAAAAAAAATCATAAAATAAAAAATATTATTACATTATAATATGAATGATTATTCTAATATATGAATTAACTAATTTTATTTTATAAAAAAATAATCACAAAATAAAAAATCTTGATTATATTATAATATGAATTATCATTACAATTTTCAAACGTTATTATAAAATCAAATTAAATTATTGATTTGAATTTTAAATCAAATCATAATTAATCAGATCAGACCAGATCAGATCAGATCAGATCGGATCCAATCAGATCAGATTCAAATAGATCCAATTAGATCAGACCAGATTAGATTAGATCCAATCAGATCATAACTTATCAAAATCAGATCAGATCAGAACTTTTCAAAATCAGATCAAATCAGAAAAAATAAGTTGAACAGAACGGAGCTTTAGTTTATGAATAAAGTACTATGTGATGTATATGTATGGGTAAGAGCATCTCCAACCTATAGTGGAAAAAATGATAGTGTAAAATTTATTTTACACTATCAACAGTGTTTTACACATTTATTTTTTTATACTCACTTCAATCATATCTTTTATATAATACGGAGTACATTTTTATAATATTTTATTATTTTAAGTTATTTATATGTTTTATTTTTGGTTTGATTATACTCACATTTATGATGTGCATAATGTAATCAATCTATTAATAATATTTTTAGTATTATTTAAAACTAAATATTGAAATACTCGTAATTATTTTAGCATTTGGTTTGCACCATTTTGTATATATACAAGTTGGGAATTGTTTTTTTCACTATAGTGTTTTTTAACCTTTGGTTTACACTATCCATTGGAGTCTCAAAAAATGAATACTCCGTAGTATATTGCATATAGCGTAAATTTTACCAAGTAGAATATGGGTTGGAGATGGTCTACATTCACCCAACTGGTATAGTTGGGCTCCATTCCAAATACATTTTGCAATAAATTGCACTTGCAACGGCAACGGTCAAGTGTTCTGTGTGTTCCTCAACAATTCCAGGTTCTACCGCCCAACCAGATCCACGCGCCACAGTCCTCCGTCGCTCAACTCACCATGGCGGCCTCCTCCGCCGCCGCAGTTGATAGGCTGAACAGAGAAGACTGCAAGCATACCAAGCACGACTCTGCTTTCTCCGAATGGAAGGTACCCGGCCCCTCGAATTTCATATCTCTCTGTTTTTTTTGTTTTGTTTTTGCTGAATGCCCATTCTCCCTCCCCTCCGGTTTGGCATAAAAATTGAATCTTTATGTGTAAAAGAAAACTGGGAATTGATACCCGCTGTATTGCTCCAACACTCTTTTATCTAATTCGTTCAATACCAATTGTTTCCATTCGTCCAGATTTAATTGTCAACCTCTGGAATTAGTTGTACTGTTACTATATTTGTTGAATAAAATTACTGTTTTGTCAATTTCACTTATCATAGTTCTTAATCATAAGGTCTTTCGTAAAGAGTACAATATAATCTTGGAGTATATCATGATAACAACATCTGAAACATTTTGATATCAGATATTGGTAGGGCCGAATGATTGGCAAGACTACGTTTCTGGGATCGAGGGATCCGAAAGATATAGAACTCAGAACCTTCCAAATTGTGCTTCTTGCCCCGGAATCTATGAGCTCGGCATAACACCTTCAAATCCTAGGCGAGAGACGGCTAACCACAGAGTTGATTCTGCCATTGTTTTTCCAGTTTATGTTGGACAAGCTGACAATGTTAGGACTAGACTTCAGCAGTACGGCCGGGATGGCTCACATTTAGAGAATGGTTGCTCAAAAGGTGATTTGTCTTGGGACAAGAATGCCCCTTGCAGCAAGGGCCCTTCGTTCTTCACTTGTGCATTCTCTAGAGGCCTCACTGTTGTCTATAGGTGGGCTCCGGTAAGTGTAAATATATTTATGTTTGGCTAAAATTTTGACTATTAAGGTGAAAGAATGACTATGATAAACGAAGCTATAGATATCAGCACTAACCCCAAACTAATTGGGATTAAGGTGTTGTTTATGAGCAGATGATGCAGTAAAAATTCACCATCAATTTCCTTTATTGTTGAACAGATGAAAAGCAAGAAAGACGCCGAGAAGGCAGAAGCTCAACTGCTTGATAAGTTTGATTATGCTTGGAACACAGACAGTAATGGCGCGAGACGCCAGAGCGACGTCTTTTACAAACTTGACTTGATCTCTTCAAGAGCATCTCCCTCGTTTTTTCCCTCCATCATCAGGAGGCTTAAGTTATCACTTCAAAGACCAAAGGGCATCAAGATTGAAGTTTGTGATCCGCCTCCATCAGAGAACGGATCTTATTTCTATGGGAATACTAAAAGTAATCATTTCCTTCCCCAGATTTTCAAATTCGGGAGGTCCCGGCCAGGGGTAGTTTCAGTGGACTTTGACATTAAGGAAAATCTTAGCATCTGTGGAGTTGCACTAGGGCATGGATCGGTTTGTATAAGGTCACCAGTTAAGGGAAGAAAAAGATGTTGTGAACACAAGGGGATGAAGATCAATGGTTCATTGAATTCAAAGTTGATTGCTGATGACGGGAGTTCAAACGAAACTCTCATTTGTGGCTTTGTCTTAGAAAATGGTTCTCCTTGTGCGAGTAAACCGTTTGGGAAAAACAAAAGGTGCATAGAGCACAAGGGAAGGAGAATTCATGGGGTTAAGAAGTCATTAACAAAGCATAATGATTATCTACATATCTCAGGGGAAGACAGTAGTAAAAATCAATCTGAAACTCAAAAAGAAAATCCTCTTAAAATTAGTGATGAAAGAAGCAATTCCATCAGAATTTGTAGGGCAACTTTGAAAAACGGATCCTCTTGCAGAAGGAAACTTGCTGAAGGTAATACCAATAAGCGATGTTGGCAGCATAGTGGAAGCATTCACTAAACTGAATCAAGTCCCAAGGGAATGCGACTTACTGTTCAAAGGCTTCAGAACTCATATGTACATTGTAGCAAAACCAGACCAAATCAAACAAATCCAATATATCTCACTCAAGATGACGCTCCAAAGGTATGTGCAGTCTCTTACCACTTGAGAAGTTAAACTCTTCTCCAAGTGTAAAAAGTGTTACTTTTTCCATGAATAAGAGAGAGTTCGTATCATCCGAACTACTGATCTTTTTTGTCATTATATTGAATCTTGAGAAGTAAAACTCCCTTGCAAATGTTAAAATTGTTGCTTCTTCCGTGATTAGTACTAAATGGAGGAAGAAGAGAGTTTGTGTCTTCCGAGTTACGAGTAATTTTTTTAATGTCTAATTTGAAATTTATTTGAGAGCATATGTTGAAATTTATTCATTTTTCTCACATTCAAGGTTATTTATTTGGCTTCAAATGGAAAGACTTCTATGAGATTTCCAACATGTACATTGCCTAGAAAAAAAGGTTTTCAAAGGAAATGTGATTTTCAAACCCAAGAACAAGTGGAAAACTACAAAATTGCAGATTACATGATACTATTGTCCTATCTTAACCAATTATTCCTCTATTTCCGTTCATTTCCTTAACCATGTTAGTTTTTGTAATCCTTGCACATGCATGCCTACGATCACTGATGTGCGCAAGTTCACCATTATATGTTTAGCTATAATCAATGTGGTTCCAATTCACTATATTGCTTAATAAACTCTACTTTTTGGACAAGTTGATCTATATTTGGGAGATAAGAATGGTTCTTAGTCATGAGTTGTTACACTTAAAAGGGACAAGAATATTACCACGAGCAACATATATCAAGTGCTAATATTAGTGTTTGCTTATTCTGTGTTTGTAGTGGGTATGCTGCAGGCCTGCAACTGTTTAAACCTTTTTCAATGTTTTCTTGTAGTTTGGCTGGAGGAGCTCGTAGGGGGTGATTATCTTGGAAAAGTTGTTCAGGTTGTGGCATTCAACATTTTTCTTAGAATCACTTTGAATCGGCCACATCATGTTGGGCATTAATAGTCACTTCAACTTTTAGGTTGTTCCAAACATCACCGATGCCACTGGACCCAATCTGTAAGAGATGTCAAACTCGCGAGGAAAAGCAAAAAGACATTTACTCTCTTTGTATTGAGGTACACTACAGACAAATATTTCTTCCATGCAAGTACTTTCATGTCTACGCATTTGTTAACAACAACAAACCAAGTAAAAATCCCACGAAGTAGAATGCAGGAAGGGCGAGTCTACATATTTGATGCAACTTCACATCCATTCATCATCACTGCTGCGGTGTCAAACGTTACTGTAAGTGCATTGCATAATCTTTTAACAAAACCTTCAATACAATACACACATATAATGTTTATATACAAATATACATGTACGACTATAAACAAATGTCAAGAAAGTTTGGAATTAAGGAATTCAATTGCTAAACTCAAACAGACAGATTTACTAGAATCCAGGACCAAAGGGAGTGCACTTTCGATTCTACTGATACTAATTTGACAAGAAAACAATTGTGCTTTGTACTCACAACTGCAATCAGGATTTTCTAGCAAGGTGTTGTGGAATGATCCTAGAATTTGAAAATTGTTAGGTAGTATTTTAACTCTCTATTGTCTTGTTGCTTCTGCTCTATTCTTCATTGACTACAATTAATTTGCAGAAAAGTATTGCACAAATGAGTGTCACGGACGGCCAAAAGACCACTGGTAACATCTGCTAGTAATTTCATTAACAACAACAAATATTTAGCCAACAACTAATTAAACCCAAAATACTGAAATTGAAGAAAAATAAGAATCTTTCATTAATAGCTATATTGACAAAATTGATCTTAATGACTGTACCTAAAAAAAGTGAATCAAGTTAGTCCCTCTAACCAAATTTATCTTAATGATATTATTAAAACAATGACTTGACACGCTAATTAATACGGAGTATTAATTTTGTTATGCAGTGTCACAGGTAGGGGCAAGCCAACCAAGGCATTCCAGATATATACTACTAAATCATTTTCTGCATGAATAGTATATATATAACCCATTAAAATGGCGAACCAGCCAACCAGGCCACTTCAAAATCTGGACGTACTCTTTGCCTTAATCCCAAGATAACATGTCGATGTTCATCAATTTTCTTATGTTTTTATTGTTGTTGTGACTTTGTCGTTTGATAATAAGTGTGGGTCTATTTGTAATATTCTTCCCCTCGGAGATTTGACTACATTAAAAATACAAAATTTATGAGTAATACTAGTAGCTATGTTTCATAGTTAACTTTCCGACAAGTTTTACACTTCGCTTATTTGTTTTTAGGAAAGTGGTGTTTTTATTAAGTTTAAAAGGTAGATCCTTCAGCAATTTAAAAAATATTAAAATCCACAAATGTCATTATCACAATCTATTTCATTGATAAAAATTTTCATTTTGTCGCGAAGACTTCGAGTCTGTGAAAAGAGAAAGATGAAATTGCAGAATAATGCGCGTTTATGACAGATGCGGTATGATGCCCACTTGCTGTCACCGCTTAAAACTGCAGAGTTCTGAATTCAGAATCTTACAATTGCAGCTCCATAACAAATCAAGAAACAAGACATCAAAGAGGTTCATATATAGATTAAACAATCATGTCATTGATCAATTCTTTACCCACATAAAGAGAAGATGATGATGATCTTCAATCATCTTCATCATCTGAAGAAGAAGAAGAAGAAGATCCCTCAACATCACTCTCTGGACCATCTTTCTGCAGAACTGTCTTCGATTCGTCACACAAGTTGGGTTTCTTCAGGAGCTTCACTTTCTTGGCATCCGAGCCTGTTCTCTTCCGTTTGTGTTCTGAAGTGTGCATTGACTGCGCAGCAGCAAGGAAGGCAGCACTCATGGATTCCTTCATCTCATCATCATCCTCATCCTCATCATGCCCACTGCTCCCATTGTCTTCTTCACCTTTGGTATCAATGTAGAAGAGATCTTCTTCCTCTGCATCTGCTTCAACAGTCTGCTTTGCGTCTTCATTAACATCATCCTCATCCATTGCTAGCTTGGCACAAATTTTTGAGATGTTGGCGTCGAAAAGTCTTGCCCCACTGTTTTCTACATTAAGGATCCATTCTGGTTTATCAAGGAAAAAAATGTATCAGCAATTTTTCGGAGCATTATTTTTGTTACTCTTGGTACATAAAGTAGGAGTATAATAATTTAGTATTCGCAATTTCAAAGAGGAATTGGTTCCCATGGTTTCCAATCTAAAAAATACATATAATCAAGATCTACAACACAAATATATTCAATTAATTAGAGATATTATATTTGGACATTTATATAATCAACCAGGGGAAAAAAATTAAAAAAAACAACAAGAAACAATAAAGAAATACTTACTTAACAAAGCAGCAGGCGATGAACCATTGGGTTCGCTCATGATCCCTTCTTCTCTCACCATTTTAATTATTTGAGAAGGTAAAGTAGAGCCAGAAAAGGCCCTTGAATAAGAGACTGCCTTCCTATGGTTCCCATTTTTCCTGCAGCCAGCGCCAGACAAGCAGGCATAAGGCTCAGAAAAGTGCATTCTTTAAACTTTAAAGAAGAAGAAGACAATGAAGAAGTAGTAGTAGTAGTTAAAAGTGGATACCTATACATCTGTATGGCTTCCTTGGTCACCATCAGTCTTGCCATGGAAATGCTTCTAACACACATGGATGGAAGTTGTGCCATTTGTTTAGGATTAAGGAAAGAATAGTCCACTAAAATCATGGCATCATACAAAAGTTCCCTAAGAAACATTTCGTCCTCGGAGCTCTGATTCAGACAAATATCATGTAAGAGTTAAAAGCCTATCCAATTCAATTTAATGAAAGAGGTACGGGCAAACAAAACCACATTAGCACTAACGAAGTATGGGTAAAGAGGCAAATACTTAGAAAATAAAGAGACGTCTCACCAGTAGCAAAGCCGTTGGTAAAGATGGCTCCAGAAGCATCAACAGAAGGGTTCCTAACCACACGTAAAAGACTACTTAAGGTTCGTCCTACAACCGGCATACAATAGCAATTTATGGATACAAAATATATGGAAACACGTCTGGTTGTCTACTTTTCGTTAAACACACATTGTTTTGGTGAACTTCAAATGAATATACATCCATCTAAAAAAGAAGAGATTGAAATTCACAGGACCATAAATGGAAGGGCATCAACACTAACCATGAAAGAAGGGGTTCCGAAGAACAGTTATAGAACACGAAATCCATGACCTCATCTCACTCTCCACCTCCTTTCTTGGACTACATTCGTTCAAATCAAAACACAACTTCAACAAAAATGCTTCTGCAATCACCAGACCTGCCAGCTCAATCAGTTGCAACTCTCCAGCATTAATCCATTCCACAGAACTATCACTTAAAAGTGGGAAAAATTGTCTCAAACCAGCATGGCTCTCTCCAACATTCCCAATCCAAGCATCAACTAAATCCACTACGGGCCTAATAAGGCCCTCCGTGGCATCAAACTTGCCAGCTAGTCCCTCAGAACATATGTTAACATACCCAAGAATCGAACCAACGAAATCCTTAACCTCTTCTAAAAGTTTCTTCTGCTTCTTAGATGTCACGTCAAGGCTATTAAGATCGGAGATAAAACGAAACAGTTCATAAATCACTGGAGCAACCAACACAATGCTCCTCCATGAATTAGATGAAAGTGAACGAGTGACAATAAGCTGAAATAAATCTTTTATTGATGCCAACCGCTTCGAAGGCTGATTGGTTTTCCCGGAACCGGAGCTCCGGAAGTCTAAGGCAGAACAAAACCAGATCGTTTCTAGAGGGGGGTTGAGTTTGCACTGAAGCAGTTCTTGAAAGTTCGAGCTCAAAGATTGAAACTTTTCGGAATCGGGATCGCAGGGAGAGTCCAACAATTCTTGGATTGATCCGTCCAGTGCAGATTGATAATTTTTACCAAGAAAACCGCCAAAATCCTTGGATTCAATCAGCGCAGACGCCATGGCCACCACAGAGTTTTAGGAGACTCGGGTCGAGGCTGCTAAATCCCTAGCTGTGTAAAAAAATTAGGGTTTTAGAGATCAAGTGCGTGCCACGTGGTTGATGCTCATTGGCTCAACAGTGGGGTCTACTTGCACATCGGTCCATATTAACCAATCAAAATCCGCAACACACGCAAGTAGAATTTTTCTGGGATGGTACCTCTGTATTTTCCAGAAATTTTCTTCGAGCTTAGCTTTCTTCTCATAAGATCTACGGAGTAATATAAAATCTGTGCTTCTCCTTCGACTTTTAGTTTGGTCCATTTTCTTCATCAAAGAAATTATTTTTAGACGCATTTTAACCCCACAGTCTACCTTAGTAAAGAAAAGAGAGAGAGAGAAGAAGAAGAAGGGTTTTTGCTTTCTATGAGATTAATTTTGTTTTAAATTTTGGGAAAATGTTTAAATTTGATAAATTGGTATTGTTGGTAGTATTGTCCTGCGCAATCTTGCTGCCAATTTCAGAGAGTGCAAAGAAGGCAGTGGGTGCGGCTAGAAAAGAAGACATCCCCTATATTAAATGCCAGGTCTGTGAGAAGCTGGCAAATCAGCTGCACCGCCAAGTTCAGAGCAAACAAGCTGAGATCTCACCCAAGAAGGTAACAACGGCCGAATCAGATTATGTGTATTCTATTGGATCTTTCAAGATTTTTATTTTGTCTTTCTAAAGCTAAAAAGAGTATCTTTTCTGGGCTGTGTGGATGTTTTTGATTGTGTTACAGCAATAGTTCTGCGTCTTAAAGCACCTTACTGAACTAGATTTTTTAAGTCGGATTGCGATTAAATAATCTTTTTGTGTTTGTGTTTGGCAAAATTGATTTTACAAGATTTTTTAAGCTTGTTTAACAATGTTATCCATTGAGTAACTTGGAGATGGTTCTTTCAGTATCCATATTCTTGGTGCATTACAACTTACCAAACATGGGAATGTGTAGGTTAGTTAATTTGCGTATGTTGGGTTTGAAGCAGATTTCGGAGTACCAGATAATAGAAATTTCAGAGAATGTGTGTAATCTGAAGAAGCAAGAAGCTGATTGGATCCTCAAAATTGATATTGTAGAACAAGGAGATAAATTGGAGGTAAAATAAATGGTTATTTTTCTTTTTTAACCATCTAATTTCTTTTCTGCTTTTGGTGTTGTAAAATGTGGTTGTTCTGGATTCCACTCGTTTCTTTTGTCTAGCATTCCCTTAGGTTATGTTTGGATGGAGGATTTTGGAGGGGAAGGCTATCAATGGATAGCCTATATCTTGGTAAATAAAATGCTTTTGAAAACAGATAGAGCATGGTTGGAAATATTAATCATGTATTATGATACTACTTCAGTTAAAAAAATCATAAATACATATCAAGCTGTGCATTTAGCCCTCCAAACTTCTCCATAATTCAACTCTTAAACTGACCCTTTGTTGAAGAACCGATTTATCTGTAGTGAAGATATTATTTTTATAAGTTCTTTATCTTACATTTTGTTTTACTCAGCTTGTTGAACAAGATGCTGAGGGACAATGTAATTCGAAGTGTAAAACTATTGAACATGCATGTCAAGAGGTAACATGCGGCACTTCCTTTTTTCTTTTGGGTCTTATCATAGTTATCACTGATTTTATTACTCTTGCTCCATATTTAAGAAGGGAGACACTTTTAGGGAGTTGGGGCCTGGGGGCTCTCTTGGTCCGGTATTTAGGGCCTTAAGGGTGCGTTATGTGAATGTTAACTATAAGGGAGTACTTAACATTTTCAAAAAGATACATTTTTTCTTTACATACGGGTCTTAGGGTAGAGGTAAGGTCTGCTTACCTCTAGATCCTACTTCAAAGTCATACTAGATATGCTTGGAATGGTTTGGTTTATTGAAGTGGGATACTTTTAAATTCTGCAATTGCAAAACTTGAAATCTTTAGTTGCTACAAAAAAGTATATCCAGCTATAAGTCTGCTCTTCCTTATTCTCTGGTTTAGAAGTTAACAATGAATCTATTCGAAGTTCGAACAATGGAGGCATTCACAGAGTAGCAGGTGGAGTAGAACTCAGAACTGTCATTTTTTCTTCACTGCTCATATCTACTCTCAACTTCATAATGCCCATCTGGATGTGCTTTTGAAATCATTAAAAACTGTCTTTCTGTAACTTAGAAACTATTGTTTTTAATATCTCTGATGAAGTACGGAAATTTAAACCCAACGAAAAGTACCACTTTGGTGCTTATTTATCCTACAAGACACACTTGACTTTGAAAAATATATACTAAAAATGTGCTTCATGTTGGACATGAGTTCAAACCCCTTCAAATATTTTCTTGAAATTATTTTTTCAGGTTTTGATAATGACAAACATAGTTGAGATAAAGGCAAAAGAGTCAAGAAAAAATACTTCCCTTGTATGAATAGTTCCCCCTACAAGTTTAGAAGTGAACACAAATAATAATATACGGAGTGATAGCGGAAAACGTTTTGAAAAGTATTTCTCAACTATCCTTCCTTCCCTCTTTTGGCATTATCAAAAGGTTCCTTCCCCCTTAAGCTAAGCCCGGGTAGTGAAGGATGGCCCAAAAAAAGTTTCGAAAAAAGAATTTCCGAAAATTTTGCAAGAGTTTTCCTTAAAAGGTGGACTAATGCAATTTTGATATTCAAAGGGACAATATGTTCTAAACAAAAACCATATTGCCAAACCAACACATATGCAATATCAAGCATAATCATAATAGGCTAAACATTCAACATAATGTAATCAAATGTCAAGCATCATAAGCATTAAGACAAACATAATGTTATCACAACAAATTAACCAATAGTCATCATATAAAATAAATCATAGAGAGTTCGCCAGCCTAGGTCCTCCTGAGTAGCTATGACGTAGTCCACGGTAGAAGCAGGAGAAGCGAGAATCCTCAAGGCGGGAGACTCGATCGGAGAGCTGGCGTACACTATCACGCACACAAGTGATGGCATCCAAAATCTTCTGGACCCAAGATGGTTCGGGCTCGTCCGCTCTTGGTCGTTGTTGGCGTCGTCGGGCTTCTCTCACCACGGCACGACTTGTCTCTTTGCCTACGTTGCTTGGTCCTTCTCCGGCATGGCTTAGTCCCTCTCCGACGCGGCTCCGCACGGCCTCGGTCTCGGCTTGACTCTCATGAATGCTTTCCTCTTGGTCAATCGGGGCAGCTCAGGGTTGAGGCATTTCACCATCGTTCCGGCAAACGAACCGGGTGAATTTCGTCTCTTGGATGAAACACGTCTTCTTCATCGACACCTGTATGTCCCGCGAAAAGTCCACTTCGCAACGAAGAAGGATAAGCATGATCGGAACCGCAAAACGAAGGTGATGGAGTCGAGAGCCATCACGGAGAGCAATAAGAAAGAAATAGACCCAATCAATTTGGACGTCGTTTAAAAGAACATGAAACAAACGGATATCATCCTTGTTTACGACGCCATGGTTCGAATCGCGAGGCAACAACACATAACAAAAAATGTATTGAAGCACCCGTTGGGTCAAAGTGAGGTTGGTGACACTCGGGTTCGAGGAATTGGCATAAGAAAGCCGATCAAAGAGTACACCGAGTTGTTGCCAAATGGCTCGGTCCTCAAAAGTGCCATCAAAATTACCACGGACTTCGCCTTGACGAAGACCAAGAATAGCCATCAAGGTCTTGGCATTAACAAGAATTGTTTTGCCGCCAACGTGGGCAATCAAGTTCGGATTATCTCCGAGAGTGATACGGAGAGTTGAATAAAATTGATGGATAAGATTGGGGCAATAAAAATCATACTTCAAAGAGATGAATTTTAGCAAACCTTGCCGGTGGAAGGGGACTTTGCAAGGGGCGTAGGTGGCGTCGTGAAAGAGAAGCGGCTCCACAATCTTCGGCGAGATTATCTCCTTGTCAAGAAACTCCTTGTGGAACTTCTCCACGTCCTTGTGATCGGCAAACCGAGTGTTGGTTTGGGTGTGAACAAAAGTCAAACCTTCCGCCCTCCAAACCCTACCCACGATTGGAACATGAGGGGGCTTCTCTTTTCTTGTTCTTGACATGATTCTTGATGAAATTGATGAAGGTGACGAAAAATTGAGAAAATTTAGTGGAAATTTGGCCAAGAAACGAAGCAAAGGTGAGAAAATTGAACCTAAGGTTCAAAGAATGCTCGTCGCCGCTGAGGAAGAAGAAGGAAATAGATCTGATTTTTGCTTCAGATCAGAGATTTGAAGTGCAAAAAATGGAGTAAAAATCGATTAAAGTTAAGGAAGAAATCGATTTCGAATTTGGGGCAATAGCAGAAACTTGTACAGACAATTGTAATCGATTAAATGGAAAGGTGACAAATCGATTAATTCTGAATTTTAAAAAACGCATTCAGGCTCGAATAAAAAATCGATTTTTCTTAAAATAGATTAATTGATTAGAACTGATTCCGTAGGCCAAAAATTACTCAGACCTTCCAAATTGATTAAGAGAGAAAACAAAATCGATTAAAGTGTAGTGAGGGCCAAAAATCAATTTCGATAAAAATCATACTTCAAATGCATTTCCAAGAAGTATGATTTTTGGAAATGCCAAAAGGGGACTCTCCGTATTTTCTTGATAAAAATGCATTTTCTCTCCCCAACCCTACGCCCCGTGCAAAGTCCCCTTCCAACGGCAATGTTTGCTAAAATTCATCTCTTTGAGTTTTTATTGCCCCAATCTTATCCGTCAATTTTATTCAACTCTCCGTATCACTCTCGGAGATGATCCGAACTTGATTGCCCACGTTGACAGCAAAACAATTCTTGTTAATGCCAAGACCTTGACAGCTATTCTTGGTCTCTGTCAAGGCGAAGTCCGTGGTAATTTTGATGGCACTTTTGAGGACCGAGCCATTTGGCAACAACTCAGTGTACTCTTTGATCGGCTTTTTTATGCCAATTCCTCGAACCCGGGTGTCATCAACCTCACTTTGACCCAACGGGTGCTTCAATACATTTTTTGTTATGTGTTGTTGCCTCGCGATTCGAACCATGGCGTCGTGAACAAGGATGATATCCGTTTGTTTCATGTTCTTTTAAACGACGTCCAAATTGATTGGGTCCATTTCTTTCTCATTGCTCTCCGTGATGGCTCTCGACTCCATCACCTTCTTTTTGCGGTCCCAATCATGCTTATCCTTCTTCGTTGTGAAGTGGACTTCTCGCGGGACATACGGGTGCCGGTGAAGAAGACGTGCTTCATCCAAGAGACGAAGTTCACCCGGTTCGTTTGCTGAAACGATGGTGAAATGCCTCATCCCCGAACTACCGCGATTGAGCAAGAGGAAAGCATTAATGAGAGCCGAGACTGAGGCCATGCGGAGCCGCGCGGAGAGGGCCAAGCCATGTCGGAGAAGGACCAAGCAACGTAGGCAAAGAGACAAGTCGTGCCACGATAAGAGAAGCCCGACGACGCCGACCACGACCGAGAGCGGACGAGCCCGAACCATCTTGGGTCTGGAAGATTTTGGATGCCATCACTTGTATTCGTGATGAAGTACGCCAGCTCTCCGATCGAGTCTCCCGCCTTGAGGATTCTCGATTCTCCCGCTCCTACCGTGGACCACGTCATAGTTACTCGAGAGGACCCAGGCCGGCGAACTCTCTATGATTTATTTTATATGATGACTATTGGTTAATTTGTTGTGATAACATTATGTTTGTCTTTATGCTTATGATGCTTGACATTTGATTACATTATGTTGAATGTTTAACCTATTGTGATTATGCTTGATATTGCATGTGTGTTGGTTTGGCAATATAGTTCTTGTTTAGAACATATTGTCCCTTTGAATATGAAAATTGCTTTAGTTCACCTTTTAAGGAAAACTCCTGCAAAATTTCTAGAAATTCTTTTTCGAAACTTTTTTTGGGCCATCCTTCACTACTCGGGCTTAGCTTAAGGGGGAAAGAACCTTTTGATAATGCCAAAAGGGGGAAGAAGGGATAGTGGAGAAATACTTTTCAAAATGTTTTCCGCTATCACTCCGTATATTATTATTTGTGTTCACTTCTAAACTTGTAGGGGGAACTATTCATACAAGGGAAGTATTTTTTTCTTGACTTTTTTGTCTTTATTTCAATTATGTTTGTCATTATCAAAAAGGGGGAAATTGTTGGGCATGAGTTCAAATCCCTTTAGTTATTTTCTTGAAATTATTTTTTCGGGTTTTGATAAATGACAAACGCAACGCAGGACGAAAATTTATTTTCGGTTCAAGAAAGTAAAAGAGGCACATCAAGAAATTTACAACGACAATATTTCGGCATTCAAATCTCTACTCAAGATTTTGAAGCGAAGAGAAGTTTTTCGAAGACTTTTATTTTTGAGTCTAGGAAATTTGTAAGGATGATAAAATATCTTTCTCTTAAAGATTATTTTCTTGAGGGATATACATTAAAAATTATATTTTTTTGGAGTCAGTTGAAAAATCTTTTAACGATTCAAAAATAAATTTATTGAGTCAGTTACAAAAGATGTGTCAAATACTTTTAAAATAATTATTTTGATACTAGAAAATATTTTTTTGGGAAGCAAAAATATTCTTACGCAAATATTTTTTGACATCGCTTGACACACAAAATATTTTTTGGTACTCAATTTCTACACCCCAACACACAAATCATTCCAATTATTCAAAATTAATTTTTTGAATAAATGGAGATGCGATTGGGAGCCTACTTGTGCAGGAATCATGTTGGGAACAACAAGATACAGACAAATATCCTTCATCATCTCGCCACAGATTGATTCTTGCTGTCATTGCATTATTTGCGCTATTAATCGATTATTTCTATTCCAAAAATCGATTTTCACTCCTTGCTCAGATCTGGTGCTTCGCCCAGAATTTTAATCGATTTTCTCAGCCTATGCAAAAATCAATTTCCCTCGCCAGAAGTGGTTGATAATCGATTATCAAATTATGATAATCGACTATCAACACCTTCAGTTGTTTAGATGATCGGTTATCATAAAGCTGATAATCGACTATCACCAGGTGCAGTTTCTTTTAGTTTTTGGGAAAGAAAAATAATCGACTTTTACACCCAAATTAATCGATTTTTTGTCCATTGCATCTCACCCTTAGCCTTATCTTTTGCCCCAACGGACATATTCATCTTTCACCTATATAATCCCTCTTCCACCTTCATTCTAAACACAATACAAGCACTCCAATCTCCTCATTCATTGCTTTTGATTCTTGCTCCATTCTTGATAATCAAAATACTATTTTGAGAGCTAGAAATTTATTTTCTTGAGTGCAAAGATATTGTCATCCATAGAGCTTACACTTTAAACACTAGTTGCTCATTTGTGAGCTTCATCTCTTGTGTTGTAAAACTCATCTTGTTTGAGTTGTTGTTCTTAAGACTTATGTGACTCAAGTCTTGTTGTTGTAAGAAGTTGAGACTTGTGTGATTCAAGTTCTCGAGTTTTACCGGTTTTTCAAGAACCGGTTGAATCTTGAAGATTAATAGGACCTTTGAGAGAGTCTCTCGGAGGATTGGACTAGCCACGAGGGGGTGAACCAGTATAAATCTCGGTGTTCTTCTTTCCCTTACTCTTCAAATTTATTCCTGCGATTTTTATTTCACACACGCGAAAAACGCACATTCTTGAAAACAACTCTATTCACCCCCCTCTAGAGTTGCGCGTTTGTCTAACACTTCATTAAAAGTGTTTTCGGTCTTGGGCGTGCTCTCAAGAAACTATTTTAAAAAACAGTATAAAAACTACTGAGTACGGAGTAGATTTTAGTTGCTTTTTTCTTGATACCTGCAGTAATTTTTTGTATTAATTTTTTTTCCTTTTCATGGTTTCTAGTGCTCAAGCTTATGTAAAGCGTAGATAAGTTTGGCCATTTCTTGTATTGAAAATTGAAATAAAAAAATGTTCTGAAATTTTGCAGGTTATGGGCTTCTCTGACACTGATGTAGCAGAATATATGTACACACACAAACCTGATCTTGATTCTCTGTTTAAATTCCTCTGCAAGGACTTGACCAAAGCATGTAATAGGAAGCCACCACCTGTTCCCAAGGTAATCAAATCCAAAATGTGAAAATCAGAAACTTGTGGTTGTGTGTGTGTGTGTGTGTGTGTGTGTATTCACGGCTTGTATGTGTCTTTTCATTGCGAGGTTACCATTGTGTTCTTACTACTGGATGTGCTTAGTTTTATCCTTGGTAACCTTTTCATATTCTTGCATAATACAGGATAGGACTCCTGGAGAACCATTTGTTCCAAAATCCTCAAAAGAAGCAGAAATGGAGAGGCTAATGAAATCCATGGAGGTAATTTTTGTTGCCTTAAGAGGAATCCATTTTCTACAAAAGTTTCAAATTTCAAAAAATCTTGGAAAAAGCTTCCCCAAGCCAAATACAGAGAAGTGTTATATTTCACTGGAAACAAACGGAGCCTAACTTGTTTCTCATTATTCATGCATTTCGAAATTCTCTGGTGCTCTATATCAATATATTACCGTCATGTTCGTCTTCTTCTTCTTCCAGGGCATGCCAGGAGCACCAGGCATGAAAATGTACTCAAGGGAAGATCTGATGAACCAGAATTTTGGTGATGAAGATGCTGACGAAGATGACGATGAGGAGGATGACTTCCCAAAGAATTTGGTAACTTCAAATTTCTAAGTCTCAATGTGTTGCAAGAAAAGGCATAAAAACTGAGACTTTTAGAATGTTTCTGCAGGGGAAAGCTTTTAAAGGAAAAACAGAAACTAAAAAGAATATGGATTGGAAGGAGAATATCATCAAACGATTCCAAGAAGCAAGCACGACCGTGAAGAGACACGCGAACAAGGTCTCTTACAGGTTAGCCAAGTGGTGGAAATCAAAGAAGGAACAGTTGCAGAAGAGGTCCAAGTCCAGTAAAACCGAACTGTAGGATATGAACTGCAGCTGTAATTTTTTCTTTCTTTTTCGACTACCCGTTTTTTACTGTGTTTACTTAACAATTTTACCATGCTCCACTCGACCCAAAATATCACAAGTTCATCTAGTGATTGGCATGTGGGAATATAATGGGTTGGAACGGTAATGTCACGAGCTAAGAAGTAAAATGAGTATTCTCATGCATGAGAATGCATGAGAAGTTTACTTTGAGACGAACAAAAAAAAGGAAAATGAGCATTGTAATTTATTTTGGAATGAAGGGAGTACAATACATCAAACTCAGAATAAATTCCAATTTTCGTTGCGATTTGAATGGATGATTAAAATTGTGTTGTTTGTTATCAACCAAGTGAAGTCATGTTTTATTGGTTTGAACTTCTTTTAATTGTAATTTCATTCTCTTTTTTTTGACCAACGTGTAATTTCATTTTTAATTGTGTGCATTCTTATTTTCTATCACCAGCTCTGACCAGCCATTAGGACGAGTTAAGTCTTCATTTTTTTTTAGAATTACAAAGTACTTATTAAGGCTTTGTTTGGTAACAGCGTTTTCGATTAGCGTTAGCGTTTTGGATAAAATTTTGACGGTGCAGATTAATTTTGAAAATGCTAACGCTAAAGGCTACTGTCGGATAGCTTTTTCAAAATGTTAACGCTAATCTCTGACGCTGATGCCAAACGGGGCCTAACTTGAATGTTGTTTTGAAATTGAAAAATTATATTTGTGTTGATCATGCATTGTATTTTGGAAAAGTTCATTATGCAATTTTGATTAGTCTTAACTAATAAAGGACGAATGTCAATTTGGGTAAAGTAATATAAACTACTTGGAATAAACTATAAGATTTAAAGATATCTTCATTTTTAGAGTTGTAAATGGATAACCAAAAATTTTATTACCGTCCATATTCGTATCCGTTTATGCAAAAAAATATTTGTATCCGTTTAAAGCAGTTATTATCAGTATCTGACTGGTAAACGGATACAAATTTGGTAATCATACATCCGACCCGTTTATAATCCGCTCCGCATATACATCTGTTTGAATAACCCGTTTATTCATGTATCTGATTTGTTATACTCCGGGGTATATAGTTTTTTCTCAATTTTTTATATTTTGTTTTTCCATTAATATCTCAAAGTATCTAGTTTCATTTGACTTTGAAAATTTACAAACGGATAAAGATATATTCAATATCCAACCGATATCCAACGGATACGGATACGATTTTGATTTTTAGCAACCACCAAGATCTCTATCCATATTTGAGATACGATAAAAATAAACGGATACAGATTTGGTAATGACACATCCGATTCGATTAATATCTGTTTACACCCCAACTCATTTTTAACTCATTACAACAAATGTGATAATAGAGTAATGTTTGGGATGCCCATTTGAGCAAAAAATTAATAATCCAGAGTAAATAAAGTGGCTTTAAATCCCTTCCAAGTCCCACCCTATGCTTTCGATGCGTAGGCATTTAGATAAAATAAGTAATCACTGTCTCCTTTAGATTCTTAATGGAAAAAAATCACGAGAAAACTTGTTTAGAAATCAACATGTGTTAGTTTATTCGTTGCTTTTCTTAACCCCAGGCTGTGAAATTTTCGGCCATGGTCAATCGGATCGTGCATCGTAATCATTCGACGAGTACATACTTAAATTAAAGAACTAATAACTTAGTCTAAGCCTACATTTTGCTTTGGTAGACATCATTAATGAATTAATAACAATCCAGTATACCAACAAAAATTTCGTATACCAAAATTTATATAAAATAAACAACAATCCAGTACGCCGACAAAATTTACGTATACCGACAAAAACCATGTATACCAAAAGCTTTATAAAGCACAAACCAGATTTGAACTACTGCACTTTGAGTGAAAGTTGAGCTCTAAAGTAGAGGTCTGAGCTTACCTTTCTGTTGTGGACTCATTGTGTTGCACCATGAACTCATTTAGTGACATAGAAGCATTCCAAATTGAGCTCTCTTCATTCCAATGTTTAAAAGGTTTTTGGATGAGAGAGGGATAGGTCTTTAGTGTGAGAGTTATGTGCAACAAACTGATTTGAGTGCTGGCTTTTATCACCAATGTGCTGAGTTTTATGATATCAACTTGAACCAACATTTAAATCTTTAAAACAATAGTTTGGTGTATGGCCTTCCACAACACACTTTGTGTGTTGTTATGAATCTGATTTGGGTCATTTCTCTTCTCTTAAAGCTAATTTTCATTATCAAACTTAGGCACTTTAGCCTAAGAACATTCCTAATTCTTATGGACATCACCCTTTTGGTTCAAAGTATAGCCAAGAGAGCTTGGGGGCTGATTTTTCTTCTTATTTTGAATATGGTTTTTTCTCGGAATCAGTCCTTTTTCCAAAAAGATTTAAACCAAAATCTTGAAAGCTTGTTGGAAAAAAAAATGGATGAAAAGCATTCTGAAGTGGATACTACTTTAGCTGCACTTTATAAAGGGCAAGTGGACCTCAAAGTGGTCATTTATGCTCTTCAAACTCAACTGGAGAAAGTGAGAATAAGGGTGATTTTGAACCCAAGAAAGAGTGCTTTCAGTTTCAAACTGAAATTGAGGTGCTTTGCTCTCCAATGGGACTTGATTTTGATAGTGATACTTTTCTTTCTTTTCTCGTCTTTCAATTAATGTGGATCACTAATAAATGTTACTCGAATATATTTATAGAGGACAATTTTAAAAAATTTACTATTTGTTTTATACCCATTATGTTAGATAAAGGACTCTGATAGAAGAATGCAAGAAAAGAACCACAACTTGCAACAAACAATAGTACTCCGAATCATCTTAGGTTTGATGGTTTGTACGAGTTTGTGACAAACAACAAACATGTCTCACTTAATAGCGAAAAACAATCCTTCATCGTCAGTAAAATACAAAAAAGAAAAAAAATGAACAAACTAGCCGTCAAGTTCTCCCTGAGAGAACTTGTTCTCCGGATAGAACACAGCAACCACTTGATTTCCTCCGAATTTTCTCCCATTCAAACCTTGCTGAGCCCTGCTAGAACCCTCAACATCTGCATACTCAAGAAAAACCTACAAAGACAGAGAACGTATGTACCAATCAGCCATTTAACTCCCCAGAAGTTGAAGTTCTTTCATCATGATCAGGGTTGGGCAGGGGTGGAGCAAAACGGTGGGTTATATTACAGTCACTTGACACCAAAGTCAACACCGTCAGTGTCTCACAGACCACAGACGGTGTGTGTGATTTGTATCTGATGGTGTCAACGTTAGTGCCATCTGTAGGGTGAAAGTAGCTTTTTCAATCTCAACAGTGGGGGAAGGAAGAATAGCCAATGTATGATTCTGAGTATTTTAAGTATACCATCAGGGCTTATTGTTTCAATACAAACCTTTCCAACTCCAGGTGTAGGTGCACCATCAGGGCGTGGACGAGGGATAACTAGTTTCTCCAAGGTACCTACACCATATGCGCATAAAAAACAAGAAAATAACAGTCAAAAAGTTTTCCTTTCATTATATAGGACAAAACAATGGAATAAAATTCCATAAGCAAGCAATAAAAAAATCCATTACCAAATTTCCCACATTCTGTTCTCATATCTTCCAATATATCCTCATAGTCTTCATCGTTTGTGAGCTCTTCCGCATTAACCACATTTGTTAGGCATAACACCTTTGTGGGTAATCCACCAGGTTGCAACATGAGCCTCTGCATGAAGGAAAGAAACATTAGGCTGCAGCCCCATTTTTGTTAAGGACCTTATTTGAAATATGTCCTCGAAGTCTCCTTGAATCTTAAGTCATTTATATTGTAAAAACACTGATAATTGTATACATGGTTTTTTTAAAAAATATTTTTCTTTTGCAATTTCACAGGTAAATCCAAAAATAGCATTTTGAAAATCGGACCGGCTGTAGACTAGGAGATGACACTTGGTCAACAATCAAACCAGAAGGTAACTCGTTGAAAACTGCTCTGTGGTACTTTGGTCAAGCTTTACTAATTTTGAGAAAAAGTTACAAAAAATCACCTGTAGCGCAATTTGCTGTTGTGCATGTAACAGTATGCTCTCCTGTTCTGGTTTAGGTTGTAATGAACCTTGGCTGGCACGTCTGACAGTGAGAGTCTTATCCCCCATCTTAATCCCATTAAGCGCTGCACAAGAAATATCTGTAACAGAAACATCTTGATAAACACAGAAGGCATAGCCTTTCGAATTCCCTGTTTCCCTATCTTTGACAAGATTGAACCCTCTAAGCGGTCCAAATGATTCGAGCAACTCTCGGATCTGGGCTTCGGTGAGATAATAGGGAAGGCCTCCTACAAAGACACGGTCAGGACCCTCAAGCCCTGCAGATGACCCCGGAGCTAGACCAACAGCTGCAAGATTTAGGTCCTGACTTGGTTGGCTGGGACCAAGAGCAGCAGCCAGAGATGGATTATAATCAGTTGGTCTTCTCACCTTGACTTGAGTTCCCTACAGCAGAAAAGACACCCAAAACATTTAATCGTGAGAAATAAGTAATACCTGCTATAGAACTTTGACTATATAATGTTACTCAATTCAGTCCTTGACTACATCAAGAACATACAATTTGGTCCAACACAACTTGATTTAATTCTCATCCATACTTTGCTACTAAGAAGGCTATTCTCATACGCTGATGACTATATTGAATCCGAGTTACACATCTTGGTATCATATCTTCATCTATATTGGGTCTTAATTTAGTCCTACTTAAAATGGCTACACCACCATTACACAAAATCCTTATCATTATAAAGTAAACAGCAGCTTCGTAATTAAGATCCCAGAAGTGGGGCTTGGGGAGGATGGGTGTATGCAGATGGTACACCTACCTATAAAAGGTAAGGTTGTTTATGGAAGACCCCCAGCTCAAAGAACAAAAAAACAGGTTATGACAATCAAGGATAAACATTAGAAAGTAAAGACAAAACATACAAGATGGAAAGAAAGAGTTCAAAAAGTAGAGCCCCCCCCCACACACCTAGCTGCCTAGGGGAACCCGAAAATGCCCGGCATTCCAATGACCCTACAACTTTAATCATCAACCTCCAAACTCCTACAAGGTCATGTCCTTACTAGGAAACCCTTCTTATTAAGAATCAAATATGTAGGACTAAATGGTCTAAACTTTAGTCATATATACCAAAGTGAGACCCAAAAAATGGTGAGAAATATTTTGAGTAAAAGTTTGTAATGTACGTACAAATCTAGCATTAACTCTTCGTATAAATGTATTAGATCCTTTTATACAAATGAAGTTGACTGGTACCTCAAGGATAATTCCATCAAGCGCCATAGCATTGCTGGCCTCTTCAACAGACCTCATCTCAACAAATGCAAATTTTTTCTCGTGGTTTATATAAACATTGACTACTGCATCACCTGGAAATCAAGTAGCTAAGCATTGAGTCCGTGAACTTCAATTTATTATCATTCATAGAAGCGAAATATACATTATGACTGACCTGGACCGGCTGTATTCCCCCCAATGGCAGACATTACATGGTTAAAAAATATTGCCACAGACTGCACATAAAACAAAGAAGATTATCTAATAACCACAATAGAAAAGGTGAAATCAACTAACCTCAAAAGGAGTGAAAGCTGTCAGAAACAAATTGTAATTTCCAACACCCACCAACTTACCTGCTCATTAGCACTTGGAGGAAGTCCGCCAACATATACTCGACGTGCATGTCTTGTAGCCTTCAACCATTTTAGCAAATTCAGTTAAAAATATATATTTAGTGGGTTGTATCAGCCCCTTAATGATACTAGTGCATCTTAAGATCAAGTGCAAGCCTTAGCTTTGCAAATACTAAGAGAAAAATGATGGCATAATTTTGCAAATATAAAAACCTCAATAGAAATCCGTATCAAAAAAGATCAGTTTTTGGCATGTCAAAACCATGTGTATAATGTTAAAGATATTAAAATAGAACCCGTAATTTTAGTTGTTTTCAAAAATAATAGGGAGAAATAACCTGCTGAGTCATTGCCTGAGCTGGCATAACAGGGAGACCTCCAAACTGTCATAACAAAAAATTTCATAACATCATTAAAAAATGCATAATGTATGACCATATATTTGCATTAGCTACTTGCAGATACCTGTCCTGGTGCCAAAGTTAACATGCTTGGAAATATACCAGGAATGGTTGGTGTAATTGCAGGAATCTGACCTGTTGGGACATCTCACATGAATAAAAATGAGGATATAGCCTTAATGGATTAATTAATGATAATGAACATATTACACTTAAACTTTCTTTCCACTTTCAAATTAAAGGTGATATTGTTTTTATTAGCATCAGAAATTGTTTTAAATTGGCATAGAAAATGATTCTGTAAACTACTGATTTATATGAGTCTTTCATAAATATACAAAAAAATATAGGTATCCATACAAATAATTAAAACGCTACCAAACAAGTAATTTCTGGTTGCAGATGACGAGACCTTTATTGTCTTCCTTGTACAAATATCTTACAGAGGTCGGCTCACGCCCAGTGTCAGCAGAGTGGGACTACTAGTACTAGCCCAACATTGCCTTCTTAGAACTTAAGATATTGACATACAAAAAAGATAAACAACACCAAAGACAACAACAAAGCAAAAACCCTCTCAGTTTCAGAATTATTTCACCAAGTAAACAATCAAATTTAAAAATTAACAGCTGATCTTTGGACAAAGATCCTAATTTTGTGCCATCTAAATGAGCAAGGACTCTTACCAAATCATATCATGCATTTTGATAAGGCTTTTCCTGGACTAAATCAAAGAAAAAAAACAGCACTTGTAAAAAACACTGACTAGTTTAACAATTATAATTTGAGTACCTGGAATTCCCAAAGCACCAGGTAGCTGAGCAGATTCGGGAGGTGCCATGTCAAATCCACTAACCCTCTTACTGTAAGTAAACAATGAAAATACAATACTTATTTGGCATAAAGTGAAGTCTTCATAAAAAAATGTAGTATGTATTAGAATACTGGACTCTCTGCCCACTAGAAACCTACCACATGGCATAGAGTGACTAGAGTACCCAGACACTTATTGTTTTTTATTGGTTTTTTATTTATTGATAATATGCAATGAAAGATTGGATACAACTAATAATTACGCTAAATCAACAACTAATAAGCAACATACCTTTTAGAACGAGATCGGGATCGAGATCGAATAGGAGATGGAGACTTTGACTTTGACTTAAGTCCAGATCCTCCCCTGGAGTGGGATCTGTGCTTGTGCCTTTCCTCTCTATCCCTGTCATGGGACCTGGACCTATGTTTATGTCTTCCCTCTCTATCCCTATCCCTGTCATGGGACTTGGACCTACGTCTATGTCTCTCCTCTCTTTCCCTGTCATGGGACTTGGACCTACGTCTCTGTCTTTCCTCTCTACCTCTCTCATGGGACCGGGACCTATGTCTATGTCTTTCCTCCCTATTTCTTTCAAGAGATTTGGACCTATGTCTCCGTCTTTCCCCTCTGTCATAGGATTTAGATCTATGGCTTTCATCCTTATCTCTGTGCCTGCATGTACGATAAGATGTAACAACTATGAGATGCAAGATATTTGTGTAAAGCGCTACATGATACCTTCTTCCTCTGTACCACTAATTTAAGAACATGGGGGAGTGGCATGAGAATTAAGAATATTGTCATTATGTGGTTGATATTGATTTTAAAAAGTACTATACAGTAAGAATGAATGGGAGCCACACAAACATAATCAAATATAGTATGGGACAAAAAGAGTGGGACAGACAAAAAGTTAAAAAGGACAAAAATAGTGGGACGGAGGGAGTTTAATTTTAGGTAAAATTCACTTTCACTGTCAAATTACTATGGCAAAGTGGGGCCCAGAAATATTGAGCTCTTCATAGACATTGATGCACTAGTTGTCTTGCCCGCAAGTGAATTGAACCACAATGAAGTATGCATGCACAAAAGTAATTAAGCTCAATCTGTCAGTTTCATATGAGTCATGGATTTGATGAGAAGCTGAAACTAAAGTGCCAACCAATTCACAAATAACAAGGTATGACAGTGGTTCATACAAAATACTCAAAAACTATTTTTGAATCTTTTCACAACCCACCACACCCCTTTTAATAATTTCCAAGGTGTGTCATCCATATTAAAATTTGAATAGCAGTTACAATGTAAGCACTATTATTCCAATAATGAAAGATTAATTAACTTAAAAATGAACAGGCACCCACATATCAACAAAATAAAATATTCAAAAGTGAAAATCCTACCTATCATGGTCTCGGCTCTTAAGATAATCACCATTAATAACTTCTGCATCATCATCTTTATCTCTCCTTCTCTCACTTCGGTCTCTACGATGACGATCATGATCATTGTCTATGTCTTTCTCTTTTTCTCTATCTCTATCTCTGTCCTTGTCACGTCCTCTGTCTATTTCTTTATCCTTGCTTCTTGAGGTCTCCTCGCGCTCATACTCATGGGAATTATGCTGCATAATACAAAACAATTTACTCTTGTGCTTAAAAGAAAGACATGCTTTGAAATAGTAGCAAGCACAAGACATAAATTCTAAATGCCAGTAATACACATTGTGGAAAGATATAGAGTAGGCAATGACACACAATCATTACAAATAAGATGAGAATACACATGCGCGAGATTCTTAAATGCAAAAAAAAGAGTAATATAAAAACATCTTTTTGATGTAACCATGTGGAAGCTGCGAGCTTATCCACAGATCTAAAACAGAGCCCACGTTCAACCACTGCCAGTCCATCACACCACAAACTACTTGGTACTCATAAATGCAATGCATGTTAAACACCAGAACTTTATGTCATCAAGACTATGGTTCAACTCCAAATGGTAATTTTAGCAATAATTCCTTCATATAAACAATGACTAGGTGCAACGATATTTTTCAAGAAGATGTAACACACATCCTGATACTAATCAAAGTTCAAGCTCAATTTCTAGATCACCATGTTGCATGAAAATGGAAAAAGGGAAACACCATACTTAGAGATATCATCTTTTTAGTTGAAATTATTGTAAAAAAGCCTCGCATTTGGATTTAAAGTGTTTCTGATATGGCCATGAAATAAGAAAATGCTAAGTCTTAAGAAGCTTCCAGGTGTCATCAGTAAATCATGGTACCACGAATGAACCAAAAAAATTAAAAAGGCAATAATGTTTGTGGGGTGTAATGCACATTGCCAATGAAGCTACAAGAGTCATTTTTTACGATGTTTTAGCTTCGAGCAAGCAATGGACTATTAACATGGCACCTTAAACTTCCATTGCTTCTTACTTTTGATGAAGTTTGGGCACTGTATGCAAGAATGCAACAGGAACAGCAGAAACAACTTCTCTTATTTCACAACTTCTTGACCCCCCCCTCCTCCCCCTCCCCCCCACATTAAAAAAAAAACTTAACAAACTTGGGATTATAGTGTGTTTGTTGTTGCTATTGTTGTTATGTTAGTGGGTTGTAATCTGCAAATAATTGAAATAAAAATTACAGCAAATACTGCTACAAAAAATAATAATCTTATATTATGCAGGATATTGATATCAAACTAGCGATGCACCAATGCACGGTGCTAATTGTAACTGTAACAATAAGAACTACACGTTGATGAATTGCTAGTATGTTGTCCATATACTTGTTCATGTGATATTTATCTCTGTACCATATACTTGTTCTGTTTCTTCCTGGATTAGAAAATGCCGGTCGGTGGAGGTCTTTAGATAGGTTTCATGCTGCTTGATTAAGTCATATCATAGAATTTAACTGACTGTGCAACTTAATTAACTGTTGAGCCTATTTATTTATCATTTAATTTTTACTTTATCCCACATTCCCACTTAGTATGAACGGTGAAGTTTGGAGAGTTGCACTTATACAAAATTAGTAAGTGGGAGCATTGGAGTGAGTTATTCCAGTTAGTTAAAGAGAGGTTATGAGTAAGTTATTACTGGTGGAAGTTAGGGTCATTTTATATAAATAGACCTCTAGTCTTGTGTAATGGATTATCAAGGATAGTACAATAAATTATTATTGGGAGGTTCTCCAAATTAATATAATTCCTCCTAGGCGAGATTCTTCTTTTTTTGAAGGCCTAGGCAAGAATCTTGCTTACGGGCTTCTATTATAATATTTACTTATTCTTTCTAAACCCTGTTCCATGGAACTGGTTTCTATCATCCATACATGTAGTGTACCCTGAAATATTATCATCATATGTGCCTTATGATTTCTATCCAAACCCATATTACAATGTACAAATTGAAAGGAGATACATGCTACATCCTTGGAAGATCAAGAAAATTTTCACAAAACAAATAATCAACCATGCTTACAAGATAAGCACTCCCAAAATCACTATCAAGTTTGTTTCCAAAATTTGATGTAGTAACTATGTTAAAAAAAATAGGTACCTTGGAACTCGACCTTCTCTTCCTCGATCCATTTTCCCCATCATCAAAGCTTGATGTGTCATTCTCTCCACCCATCTGAGGAGGAGTAAGCTGGTTCATTTCACTTTCTCTGGGATCCATGGACGCTATTAACCTAAAACAAAAGAGTTCTAACAAAATCAAAATCAAAATCAGTATGACATAGACGCATAGGCATATTGAAGCAAAAAAAAAGGTAAAACTTAATGCGAATTGCACCAATTCGCATGTACACGCATAATTATCACAGCAGCGACATTACTCTCATCACATGAGGATAAGAAAAATGAAGCAAGCATACACAAAAATCCAGGACACGACGACAGGTATAAAAACGAAGACATATTTAGAGAATCTAACCAGGAGCAAGATCTGATTTTGGCAGGAAATCGAGGAAGGAGAGGATGTGGCGTAGATGCTAGGGTTTGATTTGATAAGCGCTCTCCGCAGAAAGTACGACTCTAATTTCTGAAATATGAACGATAGATGTTTGACGGCTTTGACCCCTCTGGCTGGAGTCGAGAAGCATATAAATAGTTAATACTCCGTATTAGAAATTGGAAAAGAAATGAGCTTAGACCCGGTAGAATGCGAGCTTAAGAATAGTGTTCAAAACGGCCCATATATATAAATTCTTTTAAAATTAGTCCATTTGACGTGTCCCTTCCTCAAACTCCTCACGCCTGCTCCACCATGCCGCATTTGTTGTGTTGGACGTTGCCGTGATAGTCATCCCACTGTGAAAACAATTTTCCTTTTTTGTTTCAACCAATGAAAATAATATACATCTCCATCCCATCACTTTTTTGTTATACCCATTTTCAAGTCCCACAACACAATATTGATAATGTTTAGCACAACATAAAATTCTTCTATGTGTTAAGTGAAGGTGAAATTTCATCATGGTTCAGATTTAATATTATAATATTTCATTCTTACTAGTATATGCACTCAATTTGACTTTTTGAATCAATACACGAATTTTAATAATTTATTACACTAAATTGGTTTTACTTATTAATATAACAAAACAAATTTCAAAAAATTACTTGGCAAGAAAATTTTAATAAAATCATATTTATACTAATATATACAATATATTTGGTTGTTGAAGGATGGTCACAGGATGTCGACCATGGAGTTTGTAGGTCTTCTTCAAACGGGACAACCAATGACCATGTATGTCGTCCCTTCCTAGAAGGCAAACTACCAAGTCCCTTTCACCTTAAATTGGTGTTCTGGACCTTCAGATGTTATGTTTTTGTAATTTTGAATGAATTTGTCATTGAAACAATGAAAATAGATAAACAATTCAGTTTTTTTCTTAATTTGATGTGTCTTATGCATATTTTGATTGAATATTTGATTTATAAGATTAAAAATAAGTTGCAAAAAAATAATAAACTGAGTTTAAAAAACTTCAATTAAAATTCATTTTAAGAGGATGTTTGAGAGTCTGTTTGGAAAAATGTTTTTGAGCTTCTACTTCATTAAAGCACAATTTTAAGACCTTTCCAATAAACTTTAGATAATGGGCTGTGATCTCAGAAGTGTAAATTATGCGCTAAAACTAATTTCTACTTCTGATTCAGGCTGCATAATGTTCGCTTGATCTGATCTGATTTTTTGAAGTTTTGATTGGATCTGATCTGATCTAATGTGATATTATTGAATCTGATTTGATTTGATGGATTTGATCTGATCAGGTCTGATCTGATTAGATATGATATGATATAAGTTTGAAATAAATTAAAATTAAAATTACACTTTGTAATAGTTATAATAATGGTAATAATAATAGAAATAATAATAATAATAGTTATAATAATAATAATGGTAGTAGTAGTAATAATAATAGTTATATTATTATTATTAATAGTAATAAATATAATAATAATAATAACAATAGTAACAATAATTATAATCACAATACTAATACTAATAGTAGTAATAATAATAACAATTGTAATAATAATAATACTTATACTTATAATAATAATAAAACAATAATAGTAGTAGTAGTAGTAATGATAACAGTAATAATAATAATAGTTATAATAATCATAATCATAATAATTATAGTAATAATAATAATAATTTTGTTTAGATCTGATCTAATCTAATCTGATTAGATCTGATCTGATTGAACATAATTTTAATAAGAATAAATAATAAATTAAAAAAATAAATTGAATGGAAGGCAACATTAGCACATTGCTTTTCAAGATTTACCACACTTACAATTTACAAACACCTCTTAAATGTAACCAAAAAAATTACTGCATGCATATGGATATGGACTAATAGGTTTCAGGCCCATTTTAGTTTTGCTTGAGACTTGTTTTGCAGCAAAATCCGTTTCGTGTCCTAATTAGTAAACGAAGAACACAATCTCATCGTTCGGCATCACTCGTCTGCGTCTTCTAACCAAAACGCAGGTAACAGCGAGGATCCGTTTCCGCTCCCCTAAGATCCGTTTCAATCCAGTGATTTCTAGTTTTCTTTTAATCAATATTTCGTTGTATTTCTTTGGTATTCCCTTGTTTGTTGATGCCGTTGTTCGCAGTGTATTTTGAGATCTCGCTAAATCTCTCTCTACAAGCATACGAAAAAAACAAACAAATGCCAGGAATACTCTGTTTACTAGTTCTTTACTATTTGATTGTTTGTGTTCTGTTTGATGTACTCCATGTGAATTTGATGCTGCAAGTCATTCATGGCGTTTTGTGTGAGTTAATCTTAAAACCTGATTGGGAAGGATGAGTCTTGTGATGGATTTAGTTGTTGAAATTGTGTTGCTGAAGTGATGAATTATGAAAAAAAAACTATAAATTTATGAATTTCAGCAATTTCAGGGGAAAAAGCATTCTGTACAAATTTTTCTCATTTCATTGTCAGCCGGTTTGGCCTTTAATCCAGTGAGTTAATATGCTTGATCAAAAATCTAGCCATTAAGCATAGATACAGTCTCCCCAAATGGGGATTACACGTTATGATGGGTCTCGGGCAGATGGAAATTGATGTATTGTGATCTGTATTAATGGATATTGTGCTTAGTTGGTTGAAGACATATGGTCATATGGATATGGGCTTATTAGTAGTTAATTGTGAAAGTCATTTTGGCTTTAATTTGTTTTTGGGTGTGAAATTTGGCATCTTCTTGATATATGTGTTTCCATTCAAGGACATTTTCAGCAGAAGTGATGGCATCGAAGCTTCAGCAGTTATCATCTAAGGCATGCCAACTTACAAAGTACGTCACCAAGAATACGTGTTCCATCTACAAACAGACACTGGAGAAGAACAAGCATTACATTGTGGAGCCCCCTACTCTGGAAAAGTGTGACGAGCTATCGAAAAAATTGTTCTACACCCGCCTTGCCAGGTTAGTCTTTATAAAGTTATGGCTTCCCATTTATTTGGCTGAATTTTATAGGTTGGATATCTTCAGAAACCAGTAAAGGTTTCCCTAGTGCTCAAGTTCTGAATGAATTCTTACACATATTAATTCTACAAATCAGTTTCATTTTCTCTCTTCTAAACAACTTAATCATGGTTGATGGTTTGTATTTTTCCATTTCTGTTGTATGGCTATATGAATGAGGCATGTAAAAAAAGAAAGAGTCTAGAGATTCACTTTCCTTCAAGAACTACCATTAGTGTTAATGATGCTGCTTTTGAATATTGTAATGTAGTGATGAGAGTCAGCATATGAAAATTGATTCAATTAGTTTTCTTTTTGTAAAATGTCCTTACTCCTGGCACGATGAAATAACGCTACAAACAAGTTCTAGCTTGAAAACCTTACATTCCACTATTCATTTTTCATCAAATCCATGAGAGTAAATGCTATGGGGCAAAAATACCCACCGGGTATTGTTCCTACTCCGGACTGAAATGTTACTGAACCGGGAAATTTCGTTTCAAATAGCTCTAAGATCATGTACCGAATCGTTCCATTTTCAAACCGATACAAGATGGGTTTTGAAAAATGAGAACAGAAAATCTTGAACCATACCATTACTACTATTATGTTAAATTAATCAATTAATTAAATATTTTCGTTTGTTACTTTTCAGTATTTGTAATTCATTCTTATTTCTGTGAAGCGACTTTAACTTAATCTCTTTCTCTTAAATTATTGTATTACAATTTATACTTCTTTTTTATAGAAAAATCAATTTACAATTATGCTTTGTCATAAAGAATACATTATCGACCAAGGATGCATAAAAACATTGGTGCGCCGAACTTTTTAATTTTGTTTATTTCTTGTTGTGAATAAAAATATTTTTTAACCCTCAAAGTACTAAGGACTGATTTGACATTGGTATGACATGGTACCATTCTTTGTTGAAACGGTGCGGTACCAAACAATTTTAGTCGTAAAACCAAACCGTACCTAAGCGTTTGAATAGTAACGATACCATACAGGTCCATTGAAAATATCAGACCTTGCCCACCCCTTACGCTCTAAATAATTTTTTTTTCTCACATGAAAAGTTCAATCACATGTCACACAATCATGATTCGTAATAATCACACTCATATGCTCCATTAATCTAATTTACCAAATGCCAATTAAACTAACATACTCTGTCACTGCCATGCACAGATAATTGAAGACTATTGCTTTCATTCAATAAAACATATATCAAGTTAGAGAGTCATCTGCGTCACTACACCTAAATGAAGTCCATTTATTTTCTCCATATCAGCTTCTTTTTAACCAAACTCTAACCAAGTGTCACTAGTAGAATCGGTTGGTAATAAAAAACGCAGTAGAGACTGTTTTAGGCTGAAATGAATAAAATGGAGGGAATTGATACTTCTGAGTTTTTTTAGGGATATTATATTCTTAATATAATACAGTATCTAATTTAAAATATTTGTTTTAAAAGATACTTCAGATGAATCAGCCATTTCAACATGCCACTCCAATGGTTTTGCACCATGCCTAATGAGCTCTAAATGTTGCTAAACAAGATATGAATCATATGATAACATCCAGGACATATTGAAAATTAAAACCAAATGGCATGTGTTTTATACTGGTTTTTTTTGGAATATTCCACTTCCATTAAAGACAGTTCCTGAACTTTATAAGTGATTTGTACTATGTACAGTCTTCCAGGTAGGAGCGAGGCATTCTGGAAGGAACTTGACGGTGTCAAGAATAAATTGAAGCAAAGGCGTGATATGAAAGTCGAAGATCTCGGGATTGCTGCATTGTTTGGCATTGAATGCTATTTATGGTTTTGTGCCGGGGAGATTGTTGGAAGAGGTTTTACTTTCACCGGTTACTACGTCTGAGAAAAATGGCCACTCTTAACTAGCCGAAAGGTAAAAAAAGCCGAGAGAGATGGAAAGTTATGAACTACTACTACTACTACTACTACAATGTTTGTGCATCTGAGAAATCAGTGGCTGAATTTTATTGATGCAATAATCTCTCTACTCTTCCCTTTTTCTACATCCATGAATAGACTTCTGTGCACATAGTTTTATGATCTTGTTTTTCATTGTTCTTCTGAATCTTCTCTCAACACATTGCATTTTATATCAAATTGCTTTCTCCATTCTTATTTATGGGAAGCTTGGCCCATCATTGTAGAAAAATAATATGGGCGAGCCCATAGCATGTCTCAGCCCAAATAAATAGTAGTCTTTTAACCCGAAGGCCGTGTGATGACCCAAATAAATAATAGTCTTAACATTGCTAAGCAATATCATGGAATGACCCAAAGGCCGTGTGATGCTCTGTTCGTAAAATTAACGGTTTTTTACTCCTCCTAACTTCCCAGTAAACCCTGTCACCTTGCCCCGTCCCGACCCCACTGCCCAATCCCTTTCAATTGCATCTCCCAAGTTTAATTGACTTTGGAGTAAAAATTTTTGACTCCAATATCAATTAAACTTTGGGGATGCAATTGTAGGAGGTGGGCGGTGGGTTTGGGGTGGGGTGGAGGGTTAGGAGGGGTAGAATCGTCAATTTTACAAACGGAGCACCATGGTGAAAAAATATACGGAATATTAGTAAAGAGATTAAAAATAATAATCCCCTTCTCTTAGACAATGTGCTACTACATGAATATATAATTTACAGTTTTTATTGCCTATTGTCTTTTAGATTTTGATAATGACAAAAACTCTGAATCAATTGGGCATCAAGGCTCCGTTGGAGATGAAATACAAGGGCTTCAATGTTCATATCAAGTTTTTTATGTATGGACGCATCATAGTTATTTAAGGCGTGATGCGCACCGATGCACAAAGTACCTCTAGCGCCTCGATGCGCGAGATGCGCGCGCATCACGAACACAATGCGCATATTAAGGCACCAGTAGAATCTTGAATATATAGTATATCTACATTAAGAATAATATATAGTTTTCCAAGTCTTTTTGGGCTTTCTTTGAGAGCATATAATTTCTTATTTCTTTAGGAACTGATGGAGGACATTTCAAGCATCCCTTTGCATTTCGTTTCCCTCCGAGAATATGTTCTTTGGCACGAAAGATGCCCCCTTTATGGATTCTATTACTACCTCCGTCCCAATTTATAACGCCTGTTTCGGTTTACGATGTTTGACTGAAATTATTTTCAAACCATTTTATATGACAAATGGTATAGAATTAAAAAATAAAAATTACATATTAAAAAACTACATCAAAAGATCTACAAAACTAGTAGTGACAATAATATTTTATTTTATCAAATTGCTAATGAAAATAGAGAAAGAAAATGAATAAAGTTTGACCCTGTGAATAGTTAACAGACATTATAATTTGAGACGGAGGGAGTACAAAAGATGCAAATAGTATCATTCCTATTTGTTTTTGAGACCCTCCGAGCATACTTCCATCCGGGATCATTAGAATTTAGGCCATCTTCCCCTTCTAAATTTGGAGATTCTTCCATACTACAACAAAGTGTTTGACAAATTAACTTGCCCAGTAGAAGGAAGAAAACCAGGTAGAGAAAAAAGTAAAGTAAGAAGAGATAGGAAGGAGAGTAGATATCACCTGCTTGACTGCTTCTTCTGACTTCTGCCACTTGCGAGACGGGAGGAAGAGACGGGAAGGTGTGCCGCGGTTTGGAGGACTTGCGAGACTTGAGGAAAGACGGGAAGAGTCGCACTCAAAGAAAAAGAAGGAGCCGTTTAATCTCCTTGGGGGTCGTAAAAGTTGGGAGGGTTTAGTCGTTTATTCTCGTTGGGGGTCGTAAAAATTGGGAGGGTTCAGTCGTAATAAATAACGCTAATCCCTAAACCTAATTTTTTTTTAAAAAGTAAACATATGTTCACAAGGCGCGCCTTTTTGCGCATCAAGGCACTGCGCATAATGCGAAGAGGTGCAGTGAGGCGCGCGCCTCATGAACTGCGCGTGCATCAAGACTGGCGATGCACTCCCCCTGGCGCTTCGTGCGCATCGCGCCTCAAGCGCACCTCAAGCGCGCTTTTCACAACTATGGGACGCAACAAGGATTGAGGTTATGCTTCTTGGGTGGTGTAGTACTCAACTTGAGTACTCGAAGAACTCTAGGTTGCTTAATAATGTATGTCATGATTAGCACAAGACTTAGTATGTATACTAACAATCAGGTGCACAAATTATTTGCAAGCTTTGAGGAGAGTATTCAGACGTTGAGGAGAATCATAGACTATGGTTTGGATACACCCTGCTAATCCTCTGGTTCTAGAAGTATTGTTTGATGCAAGTGTTCTAGAAGTTTTTTGAAATAGGAGTGGATGAATGTTGCTATTTGGAAGAGGAACTATTTCATGGGCTTCAAAGAAGTAGCATCACTACGTCAATAGTAGGGGTGTATTCAAGTAGGATTTTATTGGATTTGTTTTTAATTTAAAAAGTAGCTGAATTTATAAAATTCATAGACTCCGAGTAGAGTTGGCCAACTTTCTCATTGATTTACATGGATTTACTGTAGATGTTTCCAAAGTTTCCAATTAGGAAAATGCTAGGGGTACACCAAAAGTGTACCCCAAACATCCCCACCCCCTCCATCACCACACAAAAAAGCAAGAAAAATTCAAAAAAAAATTAAAATTAAAAACAAAATAAAATGAATGATAAAGAGAGGGGTGGTGTACATTTGGGGTACATCTTTGGTGTACCCCTAGCATATCCCTTCCAATTACATCTGCCAATTTAGCTACGGCGGCCCACAGGCAGGACCCATCTGAACACCACTCCGATCGGCGGCTGCCACCACTCCTTCATCCACCGCGGCAGATGGCAACACTCTTGGGAGAGAGCCGCCGGCGTTTCCCCTCCCTGATGACGACCAGATCCATCTCCGGCTTGAACCTCACCTGCCCGAACATAAACATCCGTCGCCGCGATGCTGCCAACATGGTGGTCAAGGAGCTAATATGGACCTTCTGTGAATCAAACTACTCCACTCTGAACCCAAATTCATGGCCTGAAGAGATTTCAAGTAAGCATATTTTATGAGAGAATCCATTAAAATTCATTGACTATTGAATATCTAAAGATCGAATACCTCAGGATTTTTAAAGATTATTAGAAATCTAGATTAAATACCTTTAGATTTTAAAAGTCCAAAGAAATCATGTAAACTCTCAATTGAATACACCACATGAGTTTGTTGCTTTAACTGCAACCACTATAGAGTTAAGTGACATATTTTTATTTCTAAAATAAAGTTACAATGTCAATAATGTCAAAATACAATATCCTAAAAAAATATTGTAAAATGTCGTCAATATACAGTGTTACAGTCAAACTTCTATTTTTGGGATAAGAACATATAATTTCTATTTTGATATATATATATATATATATATATATGGGATTGACTCTAGTCAGATGATACCTTACGATGAGATGACATGCTATGGTCAGATGATGCAAAGCTCACCACTGGCCACTGCAAAGCTCACCAAAGACAACTACAAAACTCACTAAACTGTAAGACAAACCCACTATATTTTTTCAACACTTTTATTTTTTTGAAAAAATAAAATTAAAGGAAGAGATGTTGACTAGATTTTGACCGTTGACCGCCGCCTCCCAACTGCCGCCGTCGGCCACCCGTCGCGCCTTCGCCATCGGAAGCCGCCGCTGCTTCACCTCCGCGCCGCCGCTGCTGACCGGTGCTTAACCAATATTGCTATTTTATTTTTAATTAATTTTTTACGGAGTAATTTTTAAAATTTTTTAAAAAATGTGAGTTTTGGTGTTCGAAATTGTGAGATTTGCTTTATTTTCAGATGAGCTTTGTATTGTCCATTGATGAGCTTTGTAGTGTAATATGGTGAGCTTGACGTCATGTCATCGAAGCATGTCATCTCACCATAAGGTGTCATCTGACTGGAGTCAATCCCTATATATATATATATATATATATATATATATATATATATATATATATGTATGTATGTATGTATGTATGCGCGCGTGCGTCAATGTGTGTGTAGGTGATTTCATAAAAAGAAAAGGAAGAGGTCAATGGAAAATAAGTCAAAAGGTGGCATTTAAAAAAATATCCAAATATAGAGTGATTAGTTTGAGAGAGTGATTAGCCTAGGTGGTAGTCCTTGCATATGGAAAACTTTGGCAACTTGCCTAGCTAACTTTGGGGTGTTTACGAGGAAAAGTTAAAATACTAAATACTCAGGAATAATTTTTAACATAGTTTTTAAAAATATAAATTTTTTATTTTGTTTATTTTTATATCAATATTCAAATAGAATGAATTTAAAAAAAAAACTTGAAACTTTGTTTCTTTTTGTGTAATGTATCTAACATTTTGGGATGAAGTAAGTACTTAATTACTCCTTCCGTTTGGAAAAACTTTTCCCATTTTGATTTGGGACAAAAATAAAGAAGTGTTAGATTATAGTTGATTTCCAATTACGTATCACATACTACTATACCTTTCACATCAAGTATGTTTTTGGAGAGCTAACACAAAAATATTCCGCTCTTAAATTTCTCAAAGTCAAATGAGAATAACATTATGGGACGACGGATGAAGTATTAATACTACCTCCGTCCCGTGAAACATTTCCTCTTTCTTTTTTTATCCGTCCCACAAAACACTTCTCATTTCTATTAAAAAGTCACTTTTACCCCTTACTTTTTCGTACCCTAACTATCACATCATACCTTTTTACTAATAATCTATCCATCAAATCATACTTTTACCCATCACATCAAAGGACATTTTTGGAAATTCAATACCAAAATACACTCCCTTAAATCCCTCCTAAAAAGCAAATGTCCCATGTTTCACGGGACGGAGGGAGTAAGATAATAATATTAGTATTAGGGAGTGGTATTATGTAATTATTTTTATGATATGTACGTTTTGTATGTAGGAAATACTATAGTTAAAGCTGAACCGTTGATCTGCGGGTCGAAGAAAGTGCCTGTTTGCAGTGACGAGTTTTGCGATGCAGCATGCAAGAGTTCAGTTGGGAAACCGGCGGGCATTTGTGTCGTCTCTCCCCTTCCCCCGAACTAAAATCATTATTGTGTTTGTCAAGCTACATAGCTAGCTCAGTATGTAGCTGATTCATTATTCCTTATAAACATTTTCGATCTTAATACGCATAATAAGCTAATCATCAAACCTTATTCAAAAAAGAAAAGATTTTGTGGGATGGTTTTCAACATTTCACTCATCAATTTAATTTCAAATCATTTTATATGAAAAAAAAAATACTCCATCCGTCCCTAAATAAACTTCCACTTTCGTTTTTTCTTTGTCCCTAAATAAACTTCTCTTTTTCCTTAAAAAACCTCTTTTACCCCTTACTTTTTCATACCCTACCTATCACATCATACCTTTTTACTAATAATCTACCTATCACATCTTACTTTTACACATCACATCAAGGATATTTTTGGAAAGTCAACACAAAAATATCCCTTCCTTAAATCTTCAAAAAGTCAAAAATGGAACTTTATTTAGGGACGGAGGGAGTATATAATTAAAATACAAAAATTACATATTCTAAAATGACGATATTATTGAATCAAATTGCAAAGTCAATAAAAAAAATAATATATTATATATCATATATATATATAATATAAACACACCCACATATTGTAGAATTATATATTATTTTTATCTAATTATAATACAATATATATTTCTATTTAATCATTAGGAATGTTGAAAATAATTGACTGAAAAGTCAAAACCGGACAAAAAATCATGAATGGAAACACTAATAGTCCACAGACATAAGCCCAATCATTCGTCCGGCCCAATTACTTTCCCGGACTAGTAGAGTTAGATATAAATTCTAACCATTCCCAACCCTACGTTTCATTTCCGCCGCTACAACCCTCTATTTCTCAGCCTTCGTCTTCATCCCTTTGTCGCTCATTCGTAATTATCTCTTTCTTGTACTCCTTGATTATTAAAGTATTTGATTTCTATATACGCGATTCATTTCGTCGATGCATATGAGGCTTTATGTAATGTTTTTTCCCATCCTTTTTTGGATGGTCTGGGCTCCGTTTTGATTTTTTTTTTTCATTGAGATGTGTTAGAACGCATATTTAGATCATCCAATTTACATATATAATTTTCGGAATTATATGTGTATGTATGTATGTATATAAACACACATAAATATATTCATATTTGAAAAATCTAAGCCTATATAAATTATACCTATCCAAATATTTTTAATTATAATACACAAATACATATATGTGAAAATCAAAACACCCTTTATTTAATTATAGAATTATTTCTTAATCTCCATCTTAATTTACCTTGTGTGTAATTATAGATTTATTTCTTATTTAATTACATACATACATACACACACACACACAGATATATATATATATATATATATATATATATATATATATATGCGTATATATTTTCAAAAATATATTCGAATTTGAAAAATCTAAGTCTATATAAATTATACTTTTCGAGATGTTTTTAATTTTAATACACAAATACATATATTTGTAAATTAAAACATTCCTTATTTAAACATCATGTAATAATTATGATGAATCTTTTACCCTGTGTGTATTTTATTATAGAATTACTTCTTAATCTCCTAACCTGTAAATCCTATTTTTATTTTTTAGAGTAGTATTTGCAGAGTTACTGTAAGAATTTTTTAAATTATGGCATGTCGATATAAATCTTACTATACAAAAATGATATCTCTGAACATGCCTCAAATCTTATTTTATGTACTGTTAGATGAAACATGTAATTCTCTATGTTCTATTTCAAATTTTTCATTAAGATGTGTAACAATGCATATTTAGATCATCAGATTTATATATATAATTTTCAGAATTATATATATATATATATATATATATGTGTGTGTGTGTGTGTGTGTGTGTGTGTATAGACACACACATATATATACTTATTTTGTGTACTGTTAGATTACTATGAAAAAATATATACTCCGTATTTTTTCAAATGAAAAACAATGTTTGATGTTCTTTAATAAGAACACACAAATAACGTGTGTTCCTATATATATATGTTTGTATGTATGTATGTATGTATATATAATGTGTGTGTGTGTGTGTGTGTGTATATATATATATATATCTCACTCGTCTTGTAGTTCCAGAGAAATAATATACATATACTTATTTTATATATTATATTATATATAATTATTATAATTCTTAATATATCATATAAAGAAAATGAATGTATCTTGGCGTGGCGTAACGGAATTAACCCCCGTTGTTGCACCCATGGGGATTTCGTTTCTTATATTGCCTCGAACTTAAAACCGGATTAAAAAATCTGAGTCTCTATTGTATATTATTAGATGTATATATATACACACGTGGTGTATGGCTACAATTTATGTGTGTGTGTAAATAAATTCATATATATATGCACACACAAATAGATTATACACATACCTGTTATTTATTTATAGATAGTCTCGTGTATGTGTGTGTGTGTGTATAACAGATAAGGTCCTAATTTATGTATTTACAGATTTATGTATATATATAGTGTGTGTGTGTGTGTATATATATATATGTGTGTGTGTGTGTGTGTATTTATCTATATATAAACATATTTATATACATACATTCTATATATAAACAGATAATATATTCACATTCTATATAGAAAAGTGGAGAGCTGGAAAATAAAATATTGAATGAGAAACAGAAAAGTGGGAACCTGAGGATTTGTGATGTTGGTGAATCAGAGAATGACCTATTATCTATACTATCAGGATTTGTGAGATTGGAATGAGATATAATGGATTGATTTGATACAAAATTAGTTTTTTCATCTACTTTATGGAGTCACTCAATTTTTTTCCCAATGCAACTTTATGGAACCACTAAAATTGAATAGACATAAAGCAATTAATCGGTGACTCGACATATATGGAAAAGGAGATTTTTTCCTACTTGACATGCATTAAATGCTGATTTACAAAAGCTACTTTTGCACGGTAAAATATGCTAAAGAAATGGATCCCAAGATTGACCAAATGGACAGCCCAATTGCAGAAGCCCATGTCCAGTTACTTGACCCAAATACAGCCCAATGACAGTGACCCGGCCCAATAAATTTGTGCGGGGACACTATTCATTTTAGCCTCCTACCATTGTATATATATAGATATAGATTGTTACTATTCGTAGTGTTACCGTTTATATTTTCTTCTATGGTATGTTTGGGAACATAGATTTGGATTTTCAAATTCGGATTTGGTTCAAATTCCATGTTTGAGAAACTTACAAATTTTGAATTTGGATTTGAATCAAATTCTTTTCATTCATAACAAAGCTTAATTTTAAATCCATGCGCCTCTCTTTGTCATTTGAAATTCAAGATTTCAAATTTTGAAATTGAAATACATGAATTGAAATGGAATCCCAATTGCCAAACATTACCCTATACTATTCGTACTTTCTTCCATGTTTTACTAACTATTGTATTATTGACCCCTATTATCCTATACTAAAAACAAAATTCGCAATTGAAAGATGCAGAGAGACCAAAAAAATTTCACTAATTTTACAACGACAAAACATGGTCAATATAGATGGAACTTTAATTTCACCGAATATATAAATCTCATCATCTCTCAAGAGTTGTAGAAATAAGTATCAATATAGAGACAAGAACATTGAACTTAAGAATTGTATGAAACACTTCTCCCTTATTCGTTTGCCTTGTTGATTATATTTTGCCTCCTAAACTTCCTAATCCTACTAGGCTTTACTTAAGAAACAAGATAAAACTCTCTGAAGTAAATAACCCTAGCTACACGACTCCAGCCCATTAAACACACCTCGATCATGGTTCAGACGGGTTGACCCGACAATCACCTCATGCACGGTCTTCGAGATTGGGCTTCATTTGCTAGCCCCAACGGTTTGATAAATATATTGGGTTGATTACATTAGAACTTGTATCTCTTCTTTGTCCAATATACCCACATCATATGCCTTTTAGTTTCTTGTGTGGACCTTCCTATTATGAAATTACAATAACTGATTAAAATTAGACACAAATCAATTGAAATACTCAAATCCCTAATCACTAATTCACCTCGAGCGCCTCATCCGAGTGTCACTTGGCTCTTTTCGTCATTGTCATCATCATCCAAAATCATCATTACCTTCATCATTGTGCTTTACGAAACCCTGCACGTAGCAAACCACTTTCACCTTTGAACATCCGCTTCACCTACATAAACCCACTCAAGCCACCTTCTTCAACTTTACACTATTCAAAATTCAAATTGCCTCTTCAGATTTCTTGAAGCGCCATTCCTCATCTCTTTGAGTGACCCAGATTTCATCAAATCCTCAACATGTCACTCTCAACATTCAGTTTCATCCTTTTTTTCTCAATCACATCACCAAACTCTTCAATTTATCAATTCCTCAACTCCCCATTCAAACGCAAAATGGTGAAGGTTAACAAGGAACATTATACATGAACCTATTGCCAGCACTACTAGAGGTAGCGACCAAACAGAGATGTAGTTCCTCCTAGGGTCTTCTTGCCTAGTGAAGCCCCTTGTGGGCACCAACTTTCTCAACAATAGTGTTCTAAATTGATGGGAAAAGAAGTTGATAAAATATGTTTTACAAGGATGAGTACATTTAGAAAATTATAGGTACCAAAATCAAAGTTATTTTATTTTCCAATAGCTAATAAAAAATACTCAATGCTTTTCAAATTCGTTTGTAAAAATTGTATTTTCTATTCGGTATTTATTTTACCCAATATGCTTTTTGTTTACTATATTCTCCCACTTAATAAGTTCCTGAACACACAATTTGATAATTTAGTTGTGCGTTAGTTTTGGAGGCGAATGTGACACTAAAGATAGATAAGATGTTTGAGATTTTGTTTTGGAAAATATTATGTGTACACTATAAACTATTTTGGTTACTTCTGAAAACAATGACGAACTGTTAGAACTATATGTAAAATATTCTAAACGTTTTAGTTCTAATCTCAATAATACTTTCTTTCCCAAATTGGTTTACTGTTTACAAATGTCACAAACATATCCAAAAGGAGCTACTGACACGAACAGGTTGGAGTGTTACAAAACATAATTTATTTGGCATTAATTGTAACGCTCTACCCCGGTCTATTAGAATTGATT